TTCTGACATTATTAACCAGAAATTACCCATTAACGGCAGCGCTTGTATTTATAAACAGAAGGAGTCAGCCATTTATTGATGTTTTTACTTTTATTGAAAGCTGTAGCATTCATGCAGCTGCTTCGTGAGACACCCGAAGCCAGAATCGCGAACTGTGGCTAAATGTTTACACATTTGACAACATTATAAATTCTGTGCATGGATAAGTATTGTGAGCAACTTATGTGAAAACATATGGAGGAACACTTTCACATGTCGAGATGTTCATAATATGGTGCACACCGGCTCCTTCACGTGCACACGTGTCAAGCAACTGAAGCAGAGCTTCAAGGTAAACAAACATCCGTCTATCAGAAGTTGATCCGCAGTACGCAGTTGACATTAAGAGTAACATAGAAACATTATCTCACTAACATCCAGCAGCTAAATGTGTCTGGAGAAACATTCAAAGGCGTTTGTTTTCATAAACCGTGCAGAAATGAATGTGTCTGAATGTTCGGATTGGCTAAAGTAGACGTCTCACATCAGCGTGTTCATGTCTAGAACGCACTCTCTCCAGCAATCTTCCTTCTGCATTCATACAGAGCAGCTGTCAAGTGTGATTGCAAGAAAACGGACCCAGTTGCAGCAATGAACTATACAAAAGGGGTTTATTGACAGAATAAGGCACAAGTAGACACACAAGGGGATGACAAGGTCCAAACAATAGGGGCAACACCATAGGGAAGCCAGTGGTAGTGGCAAGATGGTAGTAAAATGAACAGCCAGCCAGGAGTAGGAGCAACAGTGGTCAAAACCAGAGCTAGATCCTGGAGCAGGCCACGTAAACTCCAGACTGGCAGAACAGGGAGGTCAAGACACAGGTTAGGAAAATTATAAGACACAAGACAGGACAGCAACCAGGTAGCAATAATATACAATAAAATAAAACTAAATCTGAAATAAAATAAAAATATAAATACTAGAAGAGAGAACGACTGACTCGAGCAATCTGATAAAACAAAACTGAAATAAAAACTTCGAGAATCTTAAAGAGAGTAATTAATCAAATCAAACAACAACTAATAATCAACTACTAAGAAGGTCTGCCTAATGCATTGTATTATTATTATTATGCTTTTAGTCTTGGTACTTGGTACAAGATAGAGCAGTCTGCCTTGCCTCCAATCGGGCTTTTACAGAGCTTGTCCACTAAACTGGATGGAAAGGTGAAAAATCATCCGATTATTTCACATTTAAAGATAATATGGCTAAAGATTTCGCGTCTGTGAGTCTGTGCCTCTAGGAGATCTTTCTGAAAATGTTAGTTTGACATCATTTGAACATTTACAACAGCAGTATAACATACCTAGATCCCAGTTTTTCCGATATTTACAGTTAAGACATTTACTCTGTATTTACTCTGTATCTTTGGTTCTATAACACAGCTTCCTGTGTCAGCAGATGCTCACTGTATGATATTTTCAATATATGGAAAGGGTCATGAAGTATCCATCCTGGTTGATTCAAAATCTCGGTGATGGAACTTCACAGGCCCTTAAGAAAATATGGGAGAGAGATCTGAATCTGACAGTTGATGATGAAGAATGGCATGGAATTTTAAAGAATGTTAAAACAGCATCTAGGGATGCCAAAGCACGGCTTTCTAAAAGCAGCGTTTCTACTGGACTCCTTTCAGACTGCTTAAGCTTGGGTTAAGCTTGAGTTAAAAAATACACCTTATTGTTGGAGATGTAAGATCGAGAATTGTGATTTAGTTCATGCTCTATGGTCTTGTACAAAAATTTAGGATTTCTGGAAAAGAGTTCATGAACACATTTGCTTAGTTTTAGACTTTCGCATTTCACTATGTCCTAGACCAGTGGTCACCAAACTTGTTCCTGGAGGGCCGGTGTCCTGCACATTTTAGCTCCAACCCTAATCAAACACACCTGAAAAAGCTAATCAAGGTCTTGCTAGGTATCATAGATATATACACTAGATATCGCATAGGGACCCTGAGCATGCGTCAATAGCGCCGCCACATTGCTACAGTGCTCCCAGGACAAATGTCATTCAACCGCACTAGTCAAGACAGTGTTATTACGTGAAGATGCAGGACTTTAGCGCTGTCTACGGGTGTAGAAACGAGCAAACAAAGAAAACAAAGCACAAAGGCAGAACATTTCATAGGTAAGATTTAGTTTTTTACGTTTTTGTATGTTATGAACTTTTGTGCTAAACAGGTAACGTTATTGATGATAATAGTCACTTACTGCATTCACCATAAGACAAAGAATCAATCAATCAATCAAGCCTTTATTTGTCACTACACTTTCGTATAGCAAAATTGGACCCCCCAGACCATACACAAAACATCACAAACAACTTTTCAGGGGAGACAGATCTTAGGAGGTAGCATTTAGAAACGAAGAAAGAAGCTCCAACTCGCACTAAACACTCAGCTTATGCTAGTTTTGTTGAATAAAATCAGCAAACAATGCAAAAGAAATATGACAACGAGATGCTGCGCTGCCAGAAAATTGTATTATTGTCGGTTAACGTTAGTGAAAGAGTCGTTCGGGGGATTCATTCACAAACAAATCTCTCCCTCCGTCAATATGAGAAGTGAAAGCAGGAGAGGAGCTGTGTTTCAGGACATTATTAGACCAAATTTAACAGGGAGGGTGAATAGTACATTTCCGAACACACAAACACAAGCTTTTTGTCAGGAATGCCCGTGCGATCACTGATCCATCGATGTAGAAAAGTGATGTAAAATTATAATTTTCGTAATTAGAAAAAAAAAAAATTACATACTAACATCCAGGAAAACTCCCGATCATAGATACATGTGTATATATGTATATCTCTGGCTTTGGATGGCCACAGTCCTCCACTGTACCTTAGTCCCGCATTTCAAAGGAGCGCTACCCTGTAGCAAGATGGCGGCGCTATTGACGCATTCCGTCCAATAGACAACAATAGGCCAGGCGACATCTAGTGAATATATCTATGGCTAGGTATACTTGAAACATCCAGGCAGGTGTGTTGAGGCAAGTTGGAGCTAAACCCTGCAGGGACACCGGCCCTCCAGGACCAAGATTGGTGACCCCTGTCCTAGACTGTTTATACTAGGTAGTTGGACAGACAACGAGATAAACATTAAAAAAACATAACATTTTGGGTCCAAACCAGTTTATTGATTGGCAGACAAATAATTCTTAGGAGCTGGAAATCAGAGGAGGCCCCTTCCTTCCAAGAATGGGCAGTAGAACTTGCTAGAGTGGCCGCATTTGAAAAAATGTCTTATAAGCAAATGGACAAGCTAAACCTATACTTTAAAAAATGGTCCAAGTACTTAAACAGTTTGGAAATGGAATAGTAATAAATGTATGAGAAATATACTGATGTCGACAGTGTAAATTTGATATGTTATTGACTGAACTTACCCATTCGTTTATTTTATTTTAATTGTATTTTATTTTAATATTTTTCTTCATTATATAAGATAGAGGCCTTAATTGTATTTAATGATAGCCAAGCCGGGACCTTAAAGATTTAGTTAGGGATTAGTTTGAGTTGGGTCTGTTAATAGGGCAAAATGTTGATTCTTTTCAGAGTTGTATTCTGTATTCCGCGCTGAAACCTGCCTGAGAATCAATAAAACTGTTAATCACTAACTACTGAGAAGACTGGGACTGACAGAAAATGGAACAATGGTTCTAAGGATAAAAGTAAAATAAAGATTAGAACACAAAATTAAGTAAACACTAGAAACAAACAAAAAGTAGTAGCTACAAACAAACAACACGTAGACAAGTGAAGTAGAACAGGCAAGACCAAAAGCTTAGTAAAGATGCAAGGCAAGGATACAAGACAAGCTCACATGGAATGAACCAGCAAAGAAATGAGAACACACAGCACATTATATAGAACAAAGCACACAAAGAGACAGGTTAAAACAATCTTAAGAAACAATAAGATTGTAAAGAAACCTTATTGTAAAGTGTGACCATTGACTTTTTCTCTGATAGAGAAGCTCTTGGATTCAGGACACAATGTAAAGGTTCAATATGGATCCATGCATGCAAGGTGTTTAAAAAAGCCTTAAAATATTTATATTAATGTCGTTTATGCACTGTTCATTTTTAGGAATTGAAAATAATAAAAAAACGCTTCAGCTTACAAAAATAATTATAATAGCCTGCACTAAACGTAAAAGTGTTGTGTTAAATATGTTGCTAAGGTTGAGCTAAAATGGTACAGCAATAATTCATTGAACATTTATAATTTTCAGTATCAAACATATATAGTCAGTGGTCATGGTAGACATGATGACCAATAACTTTCAGGTTTCTTTCAAAATTACGCAAGTGAACACTGACCCCTGTCGAGTCCTCCTTGCAACTACGTGATTTCATGAACATACTCTCCCCCCCATTGTCCATGGGAGAACTACAATACATAATATTTAAGAAAATGAGCAGTTCTCTGTCCTTTTTTAATATATGAGCATTTTACAAACAATATTAACTTTAAGGTTTGAATATTTTGTAATATTTTGACACATTTTGTTGACTACTCTGTCACAGATTTAGACATAATTTACAGTTCTGATTTTAATGTAAACTCCACAAGAGGGCAGTAGACCTCCACTCTTAACTTTGAAATTGGTATTTCAAACGCTTAAGGTAAGCTTGTGTTTTGCTCAAATGAGCGTTTAATAAACAATTTAAATAGTTTTATTTCGCGAAGCTAACAGGAAGAGAAACAAATAAAAAAAATCAAAAGTGTTTAATAATGTGATCATGAAAATTTACTTGTTGCGTTTGTGACCTTAAAAATATGTGGGATCACTATGCGAATCAAAAGAATCGATCATAGCCTTTAATGATAACGTACAGGGCAAACGACTCGAGAATTTGAGTTCAAAAGAATCGAGCCAGCCAGGAGTCGAACCTAGAATCTTCTGATCCGTAGTCAGACGCGTTATCCATTGCGCCACTGGCCCGATGAACAATTATTTATTGCAACTTAGGAATTTTACTTTTACAATGAAATCAAAAAGCCCAGATTTATAAGTCGTATAAAGACATTGTATTTCAGATAATAAGTCGTCGGATATATTACGTGCATACAACTACAGACGTTTAAAACAAAAAGTTTTGTGTTTACATTAACGCTGATTATTATTATTATTAACACATTTCAATCGACTTACTTCAGAAATGATTCGAAAACATGTTTTAATTTTAATAAATAAAAAGGATTCACTAAAAGGCATTGAGTGTTGACTGAAGTCTCCACGTGTTGAGAGAGCACACTCGACTGATGATTTCTGCTCATAAGCATGGCGACATCAATACACGAGACAGTTCTTATAGGAATATGCGATGGAGCGATTGACAAGAAGAAAAACGCATCCTACTGCACCAACAAAATTGGAGACAGACCGGTAACGTTAAAGGGAATGTCATTTGTTTTCAACCCATGCTCTATGCTAACTAAGGAAAGCTAAACTTCGCTTGACAGCTAACTTAACGTTACGTGGCTATTTGGTGTTACCAAAATCCGTGAGTATACTGAAATATGCTTGACAATTGAGCGAAATTAAATTCATTTGATTGTTTACGTAATTATCAGGGGAAAATACTTAAAAGTAGGCTATCTGTCGCTAGCTAGTTGGCTAACTATGGCTAACTAGTTATATTACGCTCGAGTAATACTAACAACTTGAACTGAAAACATTCTTGAATTGTTTTAAAGCGAGGTGATTTCATATTTCTTGCATAATTATGGTAAATTAGTTTAATATGTATTGTGAAGACGTTTGAACGCTAAGGTCAGTTTTCGTATAAACATTGTAGTCTTCCAACGGGCCAGTGGCGCAATGGATAACGCGTCTGACTACGGATCAGAAGATTCTAGGTTCGACTCCTGGCTGGCTCGATTCTTTTGAACCGCACTTTTGAATCAGAAACAGTTTTTATTGCCAAGTGTGCTTCACACACACAAGGAATTTGTTTTGGGTACTTTATTTAGGTAATCAGATATATAAAGATTATATTACACAGGCTAAAGAAATAGTTTAATAGTAATGTTGGCTGTTAATTTACCAGCATGTAGATAACACAGGTTATTTATAGCCATCAAACAGTTCCTGGTGATGATTCATATTTTCACTATTGAAAACGCTATTGTTTTTAGCTCAATAAACTACTAATATGCTGCTTATTAATAGTTATTAAGGTAAGTTACACAAAAAATATTGTTTTACTTGTTTAAACTACTTAATTAAAATGAGCTGAAACAACACAATTCTTGCGATTTCATTGGAGCAACCTATTTTTTATGTTCGATTCTCATAAATTTGTTAAAAGTGTTAAGTTAACTTAATCGTTTTGTGTTGGGCCAACATAAATGAATTGCGTGGAACCCTGCATTTTTTTTACAGTGTAGTAGTTTGGTTTAGGTATTGGGTAAGATTATTGATGTAGCATAAGGTCATACTTTTTTGAAAATATATTACTTTTTTATTAATAGACAGGTAATATGCCATTAGTTAACAGTGTGAATAGTATTAAAGTGTGAACGATAATGTAATATTTTTATACAATATAGTATTACTTTTTTCCTTTTAAATATAATTTTAACTGAGTTGTGCACAAAGGTTTGCATGCATTACTCTCAAAACGTAATGACCCTGTTCAAATATACTGTATTTTTATTCCTTAACAATGTCTGTTTCCCTCATTAAGGCTGATTTATACTTCTGTGTCAAGTGACCGGCGTAACTCACTGGACCTGCCTACCTAGTCGTGCATTTATTCTTCTGCGTGCTGTTTGTCTTGCTCTACAATAACACTTGCGAAACGCTAGCTGGCAGTAGGTTTTTATGTTCCTCTGTGCTGAGCATTTTTTTTCGAAACGCTACTTTAATGTACAAGTAGCTATAACTCGCTCATTCAGAGGCGGAAGCTGGCGAGTGTGCACCAACTTTAATCGTAAGGTAAACACAAAACAAAAGTTTCCATCTGGAGCTTCTTCACAGGACTCGACACTTGTAAACAATCGCTCCAACGAGTTTGCGCGGCTCACAGTCCAGCCCACACTGGTTATAGCGACCAAGCAGACCAATCACAGAACTTACAGTTTGCATCATTGCATCGTGTAGTTACATTTTATAAGAGATGCGCGTCAGCATCGGCGTCAGTCACAATGAGGGCTATGCGACCACGTGAAGGCTGCGCCGGAGCATATGATTGCGCATGATGCAGAAGTGTAAATCAGCCTTAAGTATCAACATTATTGTACAGCAATATGGTAAGACAGGGGTGGCCAACCCTGTTCCTGGAGAGCCACCTTCCTGCACATTTCAATTGCTACCCATATCAGACACACCTGAACCAATTAATTAGGACCTGAACACCACGTGACAATTACAGGCAGGTGTGTTTGATATGGGTTGCAACTGAAATCTGCAGGAAGGTGGCTCTCCAGGAACAGGGTTGGCCACCCCTGTGGTTGGAGGACCTGGGGATATTCTTGATTATAGCAGACAAACACGTTTTGAGCTGCTACTAAGAATCAAAATATTCTGGTTATGACAGCCAATCACATTTCCAGCTTGTACCAACAATCATGTTATTCTTGGTTATGGAAACCAATCATGCTCCCTGTTGCAAACCAATGCTTTACGCTAATCAGTGCTCGTGTAATATCCACGATTCACATAAAATAACACTAAATAATTGCAGATTAGATTAAAATCTGACCAACATTTGCAACATAAGTCAGTTATATCACGTCACAAATAATTCAGTCCCTAACATAGTGGGCTCTATCATACACCCAGTGCAAGACAAGTTTTGGGCAACTTGTTGCTATTTTCAGACCAGTGCAACAGTAATTTTTACGTTTTGTGCCACGTTGTTTAAATAGCAAATCCATTTGCGCCACTTTGCGGACTCATGGGTAAGCCGGTCCATAAAGGAGGTGTGTTAAGGTGTATTGTTGGCATTTTGCTATTTTGAGGAACTGAAATAGACCACTATTGACTGTGGTGCCTAGATCATTACAATAGAGCCCAATGACTTTATTCAATAGTTTCATCTCCTCAATGTCAGTATAGTGTTTGATGTATTACCCCAGAGTTAGCTTTAAACACAAGAAGTTGCAAATGGATATTTGGGGTTTACATAAGCGCACAGTGCTCATGAATGTGCGCCCTAGCCGTTGCAAAATGTCTGCCAGGTGTGCAAACACTTGAGCACAACTAATGAAAGTCCCCATGAACCGGAAGCTGCAATCATTATTTTTTCCGTAATGTGACGCAATTCCTAGAGAAATGGAATATTAAATGACACAACAGTGGACGTGGCTTGTTTTTTTTTCTAATGCAAGCCGATTGGATGTAGTCAAGTAGGCACTTTATTCAAAAAGATCAGGGAAAGGGTTTTGGGAGAGTTATTACAACCGACACCTCCGCCTCAAAATTTCTGTTGGTTGTCAAAATTGACAGTTGGAGCTGTGTAATTAAGTATGTTAGCCACGCCCATTTACTAAAATAGACGTAATCTGACAATTTAACTGGGGAAAAAACAGGAAGTGCATTTTCAGACTTTAATTAAAGCTTAGAATGGCAAACATTTCTTTTCTTAATGACATGCACAAATGAATAAAAAACTAGCAATGTGAGCTAACAAAATCATATGGTTAGTTTTGATTTCTTGGGGATCAGAATAAATGTGCTGTTTCTTTTTATGATGAATGGTGATGCAATATTATTTAATAATACAGTCATAAAATGTCACTCTCGCTGTTTTATATGATTTGCTGAATTCTGTCTTCACAGGACCTGCTTCCAATTATCACTCTCCAATATCCCTCATGCAGTTTGTGTCAGAGAGGCCTGTCTCACGTTGTGCAGGTCTACTGCCCTCTTGCGGCGTCTCCTTACCACAGAACCATCAATGTCTTTGCCTGCACCAGTCCACAATGCTATGGGAAATCAGAAAGGTAGCATTCTGTTATTTCAGAATACCGTAAGAGATTATTTAACAGTCACGTTTGTTTTGTTTTCACAATTATTTCTAGAAATATTTTCTAGATATTCTGACCAGATTACCGCCCCCAGTATGTTAGTTAGATATAGGCTTAAAATAGTTTCATACAGGACAATGCTAGTCTAGTCTCTCACAGGACATTGTTAGTCTCATACAAGATAATGCTATTCTCTCACAGGACAATGTTAGTGTAGTCTCTCACAGGACATCGCTAGTCTCATACAGGACAATGCTTAGCTGCATCCCAAATCGCATACTTATGCACTATTTTATGCTAGTTTGTAGTATTAATAGTGTAAGTAGTGCGTTTACACTGAAAACTCAAAAAATAATAAGTGCACTTTAATTACCCGGATGATGTACTCATTCAGCTGGTAAAATGAAGTGTGTAATTATGAACACTTCACTCACTCACCGACCGCAGGTTTTTATGTAGCGGAAGAAGCTATCGGGCGCACATGTTGGACAACTTTTTTTATTTTGGATTGAAAAAGCAAAATTCTCTCACGAAAGTGATTATAGCGCCTCCCGATGGTAAATGCGGTTATACTCATGACAGGTATAATTTAATATTTTGGTCATTTATTTCACTGATTTAGCAACCGTCAAATTTCAGGGAAACGGTTTTAAATTCCTCTTAGTAAAAAAACAATAGTGTGCCATTTGGGACAACACTACATACATATACTATGCTGTTGAGTGTGTAAGTGCATAAGTACATAGTGCATGAGTGCATAGTGTATAGTGTGCCATTTGAGACGCAGCTCTAGTCTCTCACAGGACATTACTAGTCTAGTCTTTCACTGGATATTGCTAGTCTAGTCTCTCACAGGACAATGCTAGTCTAGTCTCTCACAGGATATTGCTAGTCTAGTTCTCACAGGACATCGCTTGTCTCATACAGGGCAATGCTAGTCTCTCACAGGACAATGCTTGTCTAGACTCTCATAGGACATCCCTACTCTCATACAGGACAATGCTAGTCTCTAACAGGACATCGATAGTCTCTCACAGGACAATGCTAGTCTAGTCTCTCACAGGACATTGCTTGTCTAGTCTCTCACAGGACATTGCTAGTCACCCACAGGTCAATGCTAGTCTAGTCTCTCACAGGACAATGCTAGTCTAGTCTCTCACAGGACATTGCTAGTCTAGTCTCTCACAGGACATTGCTTGTCTAGTCTCTCACAGGACATTGCTAGTCTCCCACAGGTCAATGCTAGTCTAGTCTCTCACAGGACATCGCTAGTCTCATACAGGAAAATGCTAGTCTCTCACAGGACATTGCTAGTCTCTCACAGGACAATGCTAGTCTAGTCTCTCACAGGACATTGCTAGTCTAGTCTCTCACAGGACATTGCTTGTCTAGTCTCTCACAGGACATTGCTAGTCTCCCACAGGTCAATGCTAGTCTAGTGTCTCACAGGACATCGCTAGTCTCATACAGGAAAATGCTAGTCTCTCACAGGACATTGCTAGTCTCTCATAGGATATTGCTAGTCTAGTCTCTCACAGGACATCGCTAGTCTTATACAGGACAATGCTATTCTCTCACAGGACAATGCTAGTCTAGTCTCTCACAGGACATCGTTACTCTCGTACAGGACAATGCTAACACTATTCTCTCACAGGACAATGCTAATTTCTCACAGGACAATGCTAGTCTCTCACAAGACATTACTATTCTCTTACAGGACATTACTAATCTCTCACAGGACCATGCTAATGCTATTCTCTTAAAGGACAATACTAATTCTAGTCTCTCACAGGACATTTACTCTCACAGGACATTAGTCTCTTATGCCGAGTTCAAACTGCATGATTTTAGCCCCGATTCTGACTTGAGGTTTTGAGAAATCGGCGACAAATGCCTGAAATCACAGGCAAATCGGTGCTCATATATGTGAGTGACAATCACACAGTATGAACTATGAAGAATGAGTCGCCGATGCCTGTGAGATATTTGGCGTGCTAAATATCTGGAGCTGTCTGCGATTCAAATCATGCCGTGTGAAAGAGTTTTGACTGAAAATTACATCGGCGATCACCTACAGCCAATTAGAGAGCAGGATTCACTAGTGTGTGTGTGTGTGTGTGTGTGTATCTGAAGGCCAGCGTGAGGCTGTGGGAGAAGTGAAAAGTGCTCATTTTCGGTTTATTTGGACTCAAGAAATGGAGGAAAAACTAGTGGAGGTTTGACAGGAGCAAACTGTTTGTGTCTGTTTGACGTTTTATACAGAAAGTTAAAACAGTTAGGTTGAGGAGAAATTGCTTATTGCTTTCAAACCCAGGTGAGCAATTATGTACATTTTGCTACCCCACAGACCCGGATTGGCCAATCGGGAGGACCGGGAGAGTTCCCAGTGGGCCGGGCTGTTTTTTGGCCGTGAGGGCCGGTGTTTCTAGCTGCTTGCACTCTCAGCAGTCACACTTTTTTTTCCATTTATTTATTTATTTGACCATAGCCTCACTCTTTTTATTCATTATTTTGCCGCAGCTCCGCTCTTCTTATTTATTGTCTCGCAGCCCATGAGCAAAATGCCGCCTGCAGGGTAATGATGATGCAACTATCATTCCGGCCACTCAAGTGTATCAGCGCCATTGTGGTCCAGTGGTCAGCATGTTGCGTTACGTCGTAAACTGAGGTGGGCCGGTCTAATGCTTGAAACTCCAGGGCTGAAAAGGAGTCCCACTCCGGTCCTGCTACCCCATTAAAGGCTTTTTTCTTGTTATGTAGTTAGCCTAATAGCAAAAGATATACTACGTGTTTTTGCCTGTGAGACGTAGTTTGGACGAAGTTGTCAGGGATTCTTTCTATTGTAAAGTCATCCAATGTGAAAGCCCCTGTCGCCGATCCATCTTGCAGTGTAAACAAAGCAGCGACAAGACTCTAGCCCAGATAGTCATGCAGTGTGAACACATCTGTGACACGACTACTTTGAAAATCATGCAGTCTGAACTCGGCAAACTGTAGGCAAATTTTCTCTCTAATTTTAATCTCTGCATACCTAGTTGGATTGTCCTGCGCTCTCAGTGTTTGGAGGACGACATCAAAGAAAGACAAGACCACAAAACCACACAGTGTGCAGAACCTACAATGTCCCGGACAGACTGGTGCGATGAAGCTGATGATTGGGGGATGGACGATGAGGTGGCCATCAGTGCTGTAGAAAAACCAATAGACAGTGTTGGTGAAGGAAATGATGTCAGCAGCAAGCTTCAGGAGCTCTGCATTGACGGTGGTGTGGATCATCAGAGTGCTCCTCAATCAGACAATGTGCCTGTTTTCAAGCCGTTCTACATAAGTGTCATGGAGGAAACAGACTTGGATGGATTTCAAGATATGGATCATGAAAATGAACTGCTTAGAGAATACGAGGAAAGGGAGAGAGTGAGTGTGGAAGAGATTCAAAGGTGAGTTTAGATTTTTCTGAGGGTGCTTTCAAACCTAGATCTTTGTTTTGGAACCTGGCATTTGTTATTATTATTATTATCAAATCAAAGTTATCTATTCTAATTTAAACTGATTTTAACTTAACACACCTAAATGTGGGCAAATAAGTGCTGATTATCCGTAGCTAAAATAGTTATTTAATTGATAAAATTATTATTGGCTAAAGTTACCTTCTGATATATTTCCATATTTTAGTCTTATTGTATTCCTCATTCCTTTCCCTTCGGCTTAGTCCCTTTATTCATCAGGGGTCGCCACAGCAAAAAAAATGACTACCCTATCCAGCATATGCTTTACACAGTGGATGCCCTTTCAGCTGCAACCCAGTACCGAGAAACAACCATACACACTCAGACACACTCATACTCTACGGCCAATTTAGTTTATCCAATTTACCTATAGCTCATGTCTTTGGACTCAGGGGGAAAACAGAGCACCCGGAGGAAACCTACGCCAATATGGGGAGAACATGCAAACTCCACACAGAAATACCAACTGACTCAGTCGGGACTCGAACCATCATAAACATTTATGAGAAATGTTTTTACGTTCCTGTACAATTGAAATGAGTCACTGACTACGTTTATATAGACATCAGTAATCAAATGTTTTGCCTTAAAGTCCCCAAGAAATCAAAACTAATCCAAAAAAGTTTGGAAATCTGAAAATGCACTTCCAGTTTTTTTAGGTAAATTGTCAGATTAAGCATATTTTAGGAATTGGGCGTGGCTAACATATTTAACCACGCCCCTCCAACTGTCAGTTTTTCAACAAACAGAAATGGTTAGCAGGAGGTGTCTGTTAGTTTTAACCAAACCCTTTTCTCAATCTTTCTGAATGAAATGCCTACTTTTCTACATCCAATCAGCTCGCAGTAGAAAAAAAAATTAGCCACGCCCACTCTTTGCTCATTTAAAATTCCAATTCTCTGAAAAAATAACGGTCGCAGTTTCCATTCATGTGGAATTTAATCTGAATAAGACAATAATATGATTAAGAAGTTTACATGATTTGCTTTTCGAATGTTACTTTCATGATTCCCTTTTACATATTATAGCACATAATACGATTAACATCATTGCATCATCACACTATTCACATTTTCTTCTGAGTTTCATGTAATTTTGGGTGTTTCATTTTTAATTTGTCGAATTTAATTGCAGTTTAGCACTTACACTTTCATTCAAGAACATTTCATGCATGCCCCCCGTGACAAATGAGATATTGGATGCGAGTATGAACTACAGGAAGAGGATGTCGTTTGTAAAAAAAACAAACAAAAAAAAACTCTTCAGTGGTACTTCACTGTCTCGGCTATGTGTGTAAACACTACTCTGTCGCAAAATGTGGCGAAAATCCTACACGACGGTAATAGTTTGATTGCAGTGTTTACTATCTGTATTGCACCTCAATAATTTGACTAAAATAAGCATACTCCACATGTCTTCATTTGATTTCTATTTAGTTAAATTATGACTGTAGTCGGAGATGGTGGACTACTAATCAGAGTATTGTCTTATCGGATTATTGGTATCCATGTAAACATACTCACTGATTTTTATATATGTGGGTGCCACTATTCAAAGCTGAAGTGTGTCTTTTTTGTTTGTAACGCGATTGCCTTATTAGGATCCTCATAAATCAATGACGTATTACAGCTGTGAGAAAAATGCTGGAAATAAACTGTGGAAACTTTTTTTTTTACCATTTTGGTTCATTTAGAAACTTTGCCATGTTAAAGATTACCATACTAAAAATAAAAACAAATTTAATCCCTGTTTTGGAAGAAAATTAATCTACAGGTTTGACAGCACCCTCAGGGTTTCTTTAATGTCAGGAATCTTTAAAATAAAAGAAAAGAAGAAGATCAATTCTGCACTATATGATAAAATTATATATACTACATTCTCTTAAACATACATTTTACTTATTTACTTATAGTTGTGAAAGTGGTGAAGCTCGGGAGGAATATGAGAAAGGCACAGCCAAACATGGAGATGACACGTTCACCGGTTTCATGAAGAAAATCTCTCTTTGCCCTGAACAAGTGTTACGGTGATTGATTACATTTGCATTTGTCTTGCTTGCTATGTTGTTCAAAGAAGCTCCAGACTGACGATAATTCTGTAGACATTCACACAAACCAGCCACACCAAAGGTCTCAAACTCAATTCCTGGAGAGCCGCAGCTCTGCACAGTTTTGCTCCAACTTTATTCAAATACACCTTATCCAACTAATCAAGGTGTTTAAGGCTGCATTTACACTTCATGGTTCAAGGGACTCAATTCGATTTTTTTCACTCATGTGGCACAGATCGGATATGGCCTAAGTGCATGTAAGCAGGAAAAAATCACATGGATTCCGATTTACTCAAATCAGATTCAGGCATTGTTCTTATGTGGAAATTTATCCGATATGAATCGGATCCGCGTCTGCAGTGTAGGCAGGTAGATCGGATTTTCACTTGTCAATCCGAGTCGCGCGTCATTAAAACCATAGCGAATGACTTCAATTCTGACACTTTCATCAGAGCAGACTTCAGCAAAGTCCCAAATCTTAAATCTCATACACAAGGACGAAATACACTTTTATATTGCCATATAGCACACATATTTATGCATTTTAACGAGAGAGAGCAAGAGCGTAACATCCGCCACTAATAAAACTGTTGCATACATCCCATGCATAAATCACGCCATGGACATTACATAAAGATGCCTACTGGTTTAAAAAGTACTAGATTAAAAGAAAATGGCCAAATGAGAACATTTCTGCCATAAATTATAGTAAAAGAGCAACTGATCAAAAAGAATAAAAAAAATTAAACCCCATGAACAATAAATAAATACAGGAAATAGAGAAAAGAGCGCGCTCTTATTATTAGCTGTTAGTCAGGGTTGTTGCTAGAGCTGATACGTTTGCGGCCGGAAGTTAACGCGAATTACTTCTATTATTTATTAAATTTCTCATTTGTTGTATTTTATTAACGTCTACCCCCACCCCAACCCTAAACCCAACCATCACAGTTATGTAAAAACTGTAGTTGTACCGAGTATTAGTTATGTTATCTATTAAATTACCCAATAAAATGTATTTTTAACGCCAACTCCAACCCCAGCCCTAAACCCAACCCTCACAGTACTGTAAAAATATTAATTATTGTTATACAGTGTCAAAAAAAATGCTGCTTTATTAATGTGCATATTGCACTTTCGGCCGGCCGCATATCTGATCTAGACTTTACAGTTAGTCAGTGCCTAATCTTTTCTTCCTGGTCAGTGCGCTTTTGCTGTGTGCTGTGTAAATGCAGATGATCGGATACGAGTCACTTTTAAAAGATGATGTAAGCAGGTCTGCAAAAAAATCATACAGTCACAAAATGGGAATTGACCATCAAGATCTGCATTGTAAATGCAGCTTAAGTGTGTTTGATTAGGGTTGGAGCAAAACTGTGCACAGCTGCGACCCTCAAGGAATTGAGTTTGAAACCTATGAGCTACACTATCCAATAAACAAAAAAAAATTACCTTTGCATGTTAGCAACTTGCTTATGGCTTAGATTGCCATCCTAATAGGTTATCAAAACATGCAAGGAATGCGCTAAAGCATGTTAGCTTCTAGAAAATGTTTTTGCTCCGCAATAAAGTGCTCACCGTTTTCATATATAGTATGTTTTTTTTCAGAATTCATCTTATTATTATGTGTGGTAGCTTATACAACAGCAATGAGTATGGCGGAAGACTGATGTGCAAGTAAATCGCATTAGCATTTTAGCTTAACTTGCTAAAACATGCAAGCAGGCTATTTATATATCCTAGTAATGTGTTAAAACCTGTTAGCATTGTGCTAGAACATGCTAAGTATGTGCTAAAACATTATAAATTAGATAGGATACTAAAATGCATATATGTATCTATTTGTCAGTCTATCTGTCTGGCTATTTAGTTTATTTAATTAATTTATTTTAACCGCTAATATAGTGTTAAACATACTTATGACTATCTTATCAGGAATTCTCAAACCAACATAACGTTTATCTTAATAAAGTTTATTTAGTTTGACCTTATTTGTAATTACAAAAAGATTCATTTTAAACTAAAAGTATATATTTTCTATGCGTTTTTGTCCGAATTTGTCTCATTAGCATGCTAGCATGTTCAACAGCAGGAAAAAACACGATGTGAGCTGTGTTGTCTGATTCAAATCCAAATGATTCCTTCAAAGATTCATAACTGATTCTTTTTGTTAGTGTATTGTTCAAGGTGTTCAATACTGACTCCATTCCCAAACCCAAAATCAGTTTTTCCGTTATGGCCAATCCAAAATGAAATGGAACCTACTGTAGACTTAAAAATAAAGGCTGTAATATTTTTTATTTAGAACGTAGTGTCCATGCAGAGCATATTTAAAGTGAGTTCTGTGTGAATATCACAGTGTCTTCTGGTTTGCAAAAAGTTGAGATTCTTTATATCTAGTATTTTAATATTTACTCAGTTTTAATCAAATGTGATACGTCTTGCCTTACAGATACAGTTGGAACGGATCACCTCTATTTATTATGAAGCCACCTTGTAATGCTAGTCAAATGGTGCCGTCCTGCAGTCACTGTGGAAGTCTGAGAGTGTTTGAATTTCAGCTCATGCCTGCATTGGTCAGTTTGCTAGGTAGTGCAGACACAAATTCAGGTAAGGAATGTTTAAAATATTCTTAATACAAGCCATTATCATACTTTTTAGGATATTTTTTTCTTATAAAATGTGAGAGGAGCTTGAACCTAAAAGTTAATATTAACAAACTAAAAGTTAATATTAACAAATTTGTGTTAGGAGCCATGAAATACAGTGAAATGTACAGTCAGGGAGTAATTATGTCAAAATAAGTAACCATCTGATACAAAACTAATCAGTCAGTTTGCATTTTACAACAATGAATGGCTAACTATACATTAATGCTCTTGTTTATCACATAAAATCACCTTTTTTATTATTTTCAGAGATTTCACTGGAGTTTGGAACAGTTCTGGTGTATACTTGCAGAAACAGTTGTTGGAAATCTGGATCAACGGTTCCAGTGGAGGAATTTCTTTTTGTTCAGCCTGACCCAGACCAAAAGTATTTCAAATGACAATTATTTATCATCAATAAAGGTAGTTTATCAATAGAGTGCATTTGTGCCCACTTCTTCAGCAGCTTTGGTCTTGAAAGTGTTATTCTCATAAAGATTTAAATCATGGGTGCGTCGGTTTCCCCCACAAGTCCGAAGACATGCGCTATAGGTGAATTGGGTAAGCTAAATTGTTCGTAGTGCATGGTGAATAAGTGTGTATAGATGTTTCCCAGTGATGAGTTGCAGCTAGAAGGGCATCCACTGCGTAAAACATATGCTGGATAAGTTGGTGGTTCATTCCGCTGTGGCGCCTCCTGATTAATAAAGGGACTAAGCTGAAAAGAAAAGGAATGAGCTTTAAATCACAGTGGAAAGCACAGTTTGACTCCATAATTTTAAGTGAATTAGGTGTCTTTAAACACTTTAATAAGCCTAAAATACAAGTATGGAGGCAATCCCTCATGCATGACTGCCACCTAAACAGAAACCAAACTTTCTGGAGACAATAGTGTGACTTGCACTCTCAGACACGTGCACTAAATGGAGCTGGTGATGTTGGGTTTAGTGGCCGGGTTTGGTGAACACATTAAAAGCATGCATGTGCACTCAGTCTGCGGCCAGACCCTTCCCAGCAAGCATTTTTTGTTTTTAAAAGATGTCTAATAGATGTGAAATAGATGTCTAAACATAGTCATCTTGGCTAAAAAAGGCTAAATTTGGGCTGTCTGTGAAAATTTAATAGATGACCCAGAATAGGCCAAAACTAGACTAGTCATCAAATGAACAGATATCACTGACTACACACATAAAGTCTGTCTAATCTATTTGACGACTATAGTTTTGGGTTATATTTTGATGTCTATTAGATTTTCACTGACAGCCTAAGTTTAGCCTTGTTTTAGCCAAGCTGTTTATGTTTAGATGTCTATTAGACCTCTATTAAACACAAAATTGTTTGCTGAGTTTTCTCTGGAGATTCTCTCAGCACATCATTCTGTTGCCACAGCTCTCAACCACACCTTTGTTATTGTACAATGATCAAAATGAAGAGCACAAAGAAAGAGAACATCCTTCATCCATTTTAAATGAAATCACCACTCTTACTAGCCCCTCATGGGACATTAGCATTTGTCAGAATGTATTTATTCTGTAGGCATACACAAACCGGCTACACTATCTGATTTACACATAAATGACCTTTGCATGTTAGCAATTAGCTAAACTTGATTTTGGCTTATAGCCTAATGCCATCCTAATACGTTACGAAAACATGAATATGCTATAACATGTTAGCAACTAGAAGACACTTTTGCTCAGCAATAAATTGCTCTATGTCCCTACTGAAAAAAAAACAGCTTAAACCAGCCTAGGCTGGTTGGCTGGTTTTAGCTGGTAGGCCAGGCTGGTTTTAGAGGGGATTTGGCCATTTCCAGGCTGGTTTCCAGCCATTTTCAGCCTGGTCAGGCTGGGAGATGACCAGCTTAAACCAGCTTGACCAGCCTAGCCAGGCTGGAAGCCCAGCCAAAACCAGCTATGTCCAGCTTAAACCAGGCTGGTCAAGCTGGATTTAGCTGGTCAGTTTCCAGCCTGACCAGCTAAGACCAGGCTGGAAATGGCCAAAACCCCTCTAAAACCAGCCTGGTCGACCAGCTAAAACCAGCCAACCAGCCTAGGCTGGTTTAAGCTGGATTTTTCTGCAGGGGTACAGTATGTTTTTTGTTTGTCAGAATTAATTTAATTAGCATGTGTGCTAGCAACTATAACAGCAATGCGTATGACGCAAGATGCATTGTTTGATGTGCAAATAAATCATGCTCGCATTTTAGCTTAAGCTAAAACATGCAAGCAGGCTATTAATCTATGCTAGTGATGTGTTAAAACATGATGGCAATGTGCTAGAGCAGTGTTTCTCAACTGGTGGGTAATTTTTAGTGGGTCGCTTAGCGTGTGATAAAAACAAAACAAAAAATTTTTTTTAAACTTATTTTGACTTTTATTTTGAAATACATGCACGACGACCCTACCGTCTGACGTGAAAATTAATTTAATTATAGCAACAAATATGTCAAAGCGCAAGTATGACCCTGAATATGTAAAGTATGGATTTACTTATGTTGACGACAAAAAAAAGACTTGACGCCTCAGTGTGACAGTAGTGAGGTGCTCTCACAAGAGAGCATGAAACCTTTTGAAATTAAGTTGACATTTGGAAACCAGACAACATGTTTTATTAACAGTTCAGGGTAACTGAACCTTTCCTTACCCTAACCACTGTTTACAGTATTTGTCGTTTTTACTTTCTAATATTTCTATAATTTGATACATTTTGTTAAATGACACCAATTAAATATTGTTTATTTGTAAGTCTTTGTGATTTTCTTATGATTTATCTGTCACTACTTGTGTATGTTAACAAATAAATACAAATTAATTATATTTTCTAAAATTGTATTGTAGTTACTAAAAATTTGGGTCACGGCTTGATGACCATGTAAAAATTTGGGTCCCATGGCCAAACCAGTTGAGAACTTCTGTGCTAGAGCAGTGGTTCTCAAAGTGGGGGTCGGGACCCCCCGAGGGGTCGCGGGGCAATGAAGGGGGGTCGCCTGGTGATTTTCAAAAATCTATTTATTTATTTTTATTAAACCATAGGAATTCACATATTTTATCCATAACTATACTGAAAATAAAAATAGTCGTTTATAGTAACTATATACTATATAGTTACTATAGTAGCTTATAGTTACTAGTTCTATTGGATTGCGACCTCTGGGGTAATTACATTGTATTAAAGACAGCAATAGCGTCAGATGCATTTTGATTTTATAACATCAGGTTATACTTTCTGGCACATTTAAAGCACTGACACAAATTTAATTGGTGTGTCTGCGTCATTGCATGCAAGGTTTCTGTATTTATAACCACCTCAGAGAATATTGGGGGTCGCGAGTCACTGGCATTGTTATTTTGGGGGTCGCGGGCTGAAAAGTTTGGGAACCCCTGTGCTAGAGCATGCTAAGGATGTGCTAAAAAGCATGTTTTCAACTAAATATCATGCTGATTTCACCAAGTAGGACCTGTTCCTGGATTAACACTTATGTTGATCCTGGAACAACATTCCAGTCAGCCAATCAGCATTAAAGGATGCGTTTACAGTTTATGTTAAGTTTAGGCTTACGGTTGGGTTTATGCACTTCTACATGATTGTTATCTAGCTATTCCCCTCTGATTTTGGGAATAATACACAGTTATGGTCGTGTTTAGGGAATAGGTGTGGATTACATTTTCCAACAAAAATGATGTTCCAGAATCAATGTAGATGTTAATCCAGGATCGAATCGTATTTGGCAAAATCATGAAGTGCACTGAAATGCAAATCTATTTATTAGTCAATCTATCTAGCAATATATCTATATATAAACTATGACTATCTTGTCAGGAATTCTTAAGCCAACATAACATTTATCTTTATGAAGTTTATTTAGCTTTACTTTATTTGTCAGTAAAAATCCTTCAGCCATTTTTAATGTAATCACTTTACAGCCTCTCACAGGACATCGACTTCTCTTGCCATGATTGGCTTTTGATCTACAACCTGCTGTTAAGATCGCTTCAGTTCAGTCGCAAACTAAGTTCTTCAAAATAAGTAGAAACTGACGTTTAAACTAAGATATTCCACCAGGTATATATTTTTCTCTATGGCGAAGCAGTGGCGCAGTATAGTGTTTCTGTGTGGAGTTTGCATGTTCTCCCTGCGTTCACATGGATTTCCTCTGGGTGCTCCGGCTTCCCCCACAGTCCAAAGACATGCGGTACAGGTGAATTGGGTAGGCTAAATTGTCCATAGTGTATGAGTGTGTGTGTGGATGTTTCCCAGAGATGGGTTGCGGCTGGAAGGGCATCTGCTGCGTAAAAACTTGCTGGATAAGTTGGTGGTTTATTCCGCTGTGGTGACCCCGGATTAATAAAGGGACTAAGCCGACAAGAAAATGATTTTTTCTCCACACGCTTTTGTGTAAACCTGATCTTAACTTTGCAAATTATCTAGCCTATAACATGAAAATTTATGTCATTTTGAAGTGGAACTCCGAATGTGGGAAGACAGTTCGAGACTAAGATTACTAACTGTGAGGTTTCTGAAATTGTTCCCCAATTTTAATTAGTGTGTTTTATCTCCACAGAACACACACACACACACGCACACACACACACACACACACACACACACTAATAGCCACATCCTATAGAGATAAACTTTATTGACTAACCTAAAATATATATTTTTACATATTTTATAGTTTTATAACCTACAGTTTAAGTGATGTAAGACATATTTGATGCATACTTCAACGTCTTTGAATACAAGCTCTTAATAGACAAATTAATTCGTGAAATGCACATAGTGCTGGACAAGTTATTAATATGCAAATTTAGGTCGAATGTTTACATGATAATACTCGAATACGCGTTCAAATGTAGAAAACCTTTAGATTTTAGCATCAGTAAACTCAATTTGGTTTAGTCGTCCTGAAAGCTGCAGTTCTGAACCAATGACTGTAAAAAAATATGGACGACGCGACAGCCCTTTTTCCCATTGAACGCCTTGAGGGCAAAACGCCTGCTTGACGGGCACAAACTGTCGCAAAAGACTGCTGAAATTGGAGCCAGACATGCGCAGAAGGACTGTCTGATGGAGCCAGAGGAGGAGCCGCGAAAATGAGCAGAGTCGAGCTTCCAATCAAACGCTTTATGTAAAATCAACTACGCCCCCCGAACTTCTCAGCATGCGTTTGCTGTCATATCAACACAAATGGATGTAATAACGTTAACAAATATGAGGGTTTTATATATTCAATCGCGCCAGCTCCAGGCCGCAGCGCACAACTTACTCGCGGCGTCGCGGGCTGATTCCGGCTCGCATGCGGCAGCGCCTGCTCGCTCGGCCGCCGCATCTGGCTCGATTGACTCGGACTGGAATCGGGCAGTGAATCCAGGCATCCGGAGTAGGTCCAGCAGAGGTAACATTAGTCAGTCTGAGCTCTAAGAGAGAAGTCTCCGGCAGGCGAGAATCTAGCCGGAACTGTGTTTTGCTATCTGGGTGGCTAGGCGTGTATCAGCAAACTAATAAAGCCCGAAAAAAGCCCTGAACTTAGCGAATAAACAGTGTTCCACCAGGATCATGTATGTCAGAAACTATAGTTTACTGCTGAACTCATTTTGTCATGGTAAAATAACACAGAAATCGAATAATAACATTTCAGTCTACTTCAGTCTCCTGCCGAAGCTCAGACGCCGCGCTTTGAGAAACTGTAAATCACAGCTGTCAATCACGATGACACGCCCAGCATTAAATTACTGCTAATAACAAACTGTTTACAAAAATGAAGATCTGCACCTATTTCAGCACAATAACCAGTGCCTTAATCGACCAGAACTATCTTTCGGGACATTTTATTGCAAGTGTAATATTTTTTTTTATTTGGGCTCAAGTCTCCTTCATTAACACGGAGGAGGCGGGCTTTATGACTTGTACTGCAGCCAGCCCCCAGGGGGCGATCTAACGGCCGAAACCTTCACTCAAACGTAGGCTTGCGGCACACTTGTTCTGAACACTGCCGCCTCCCGTGCGCATGCGCAGTCAGGGCGGCGAACGGCACTCAATGCTCCGGCTTTTCTCTCGCGAGGAAGGACGCCATTATCGGAATACTCACAAACAACACGAGAATTCATCATTCACACGGTAATATAAACCATTCTGACATGCGACACCTCCTGCTCTCCTCGCGCTTCAAAATATGGCGCTTTGCATTAAAGAAATGCGCATTATCTCGCTGTTTTCGACTCAATTGTGTCCTGCGTGCCATGAAGGGCACAAACGAGGCCTAGATGCATTTCACTCTTGTGTTTTTGAGCTGTTGGTTAGCAGGCGCGAGCTAACAGGCTACATGAGCAGGTTAGCTGTACTGTGCTAACTAGTGTAAACCACTGGGTTTATTAATGGCACTATTTAAGGAGCTACGACTTTTTAAAGAGAGTTTTGTGATGTTCGAAACAAAAAAAAGTGTTGTTTATTGTTCTAAAATGAAATGGTTAACTGGAGTTAAGCTAAATTTGGCTTGTAACCTAGTTATAATCTTAGCTGCTGCAGTATCATATTTGCAGGGAGAATATTTTTGTATTGTGCAATATTACGTATAAGTAAAGACGAGCTTTATGAGTTATATTAACGACATTTTTCACCACCACCAGTTTTTTTTTTTTACTGTTTTATAATATTATCTATTTCCTTTGTCTTTTGTAAATATTATGAAAATATAAAAATTGACTCATCATTTACTCGCCCTTCACGTGTGCGTTAGTATATAATAGTTAATATATATATATATATATATATATATATATATATATATATATATATATATATATATATATATATATATATAAACCTTTTTTAAATGTTTTGTGTGAGCAAGTATTTTACAGTGCTTTAAAAATACTCAAAAATGTATTTGTCATGGTTTTCAAAGTATTATTTGATTTAACGTTACCAAAGTCACACAAGTGGGAATTTCACATCCATAACGACACTTTTTCCTCATAAATGCAAAAATACTGTCAATATTTTTTCTTCTATAGTAAGCCAGATCTTATCCTTTGATTAGCATTATTTCTTTTGACTTGTGCAGTTTAATTCACAGAATTTTTACAAAGTATACTGTAAACATACTTTTTTTGGTCACATCCATCACGCATGTTTATTTTCTTCTTTTAAAGTGTTCTCTGTACTTTAAATGAGGAAAATAAACATATTTTGTTTACAGACTGATATTATTCAGAGCCCAGTTGTTCAGAAAAATATATATGTTTCAATATAATGTTAAAATAAACTTTCTCTGAATTTATGTTTTGAGTTTTTACTGCAAATATCACATCCATAAAACTGTAATTTATCATATATATATATATATATATATATATATATATATATATATATATATATATATATATATATATATATATATATATATATATATATATATAGACAAATGCTATGCATTATGATAACGCCATTATTTTTGTCACCACCACCATGAATGTGTTTTATAATGTTTTTTATTTTGTTTGTGTGGTCTGTAAATATCTGAAAAAAAAATGTTCCAAGACTTATTTTGTACATGGGTATATATAAATTATGTACCATGGTACATTTTATAAATAAATTGTGCTATTATTACTCTGATGCCACAAAGCAGAAATGTAAAATTGTTATGGATGAATAGTCAGTTTTAATTTTTAAAATCTGGACTTGTGAATTGAGGTTTAGTTTTATATTCGTCCATTTGTTCAGTGACAACATGTAATATGCACCCTATATTTTTTTACCGTGGTATTTTAAAATATGCCTTCTGAAATCAAATGTAAATATTAAAATATTAATATTAAAACATTAGCACTATTTATTTGACTGTGAACAATGTTGTTCTTTGATTTTCTAACTAACTTACTTTTAGAATCGGCATAGAATTCTTTTCAGTAATTATATATTATTAGTCTGTGTGAATATAAAACCAACTTTACTTCAGTAAATCGTGAATACACACACACACACACACACACACACACACACACACACACACAAGAAAACATGAAACCTTTAAAATGTCTAGGCTGCAAATTGGGCATTTAAACAACAGCATCTAAATAATTAGCATAATTAGTAATTAAAGCTCTAGAAATGTATTAATAGGAGTAGCATGTAAAAAGTTATTTAAAAATTAAAGCTATACAAATATATAAAACTTACTAATCTTTTGGAGCTACCCACCCAAATTCTTCTATAACATTGATATCAGCATTAAAATAAAATAATAATAATCAAGATATTATAATGAAAAATTTAATATTTAGTTGTGATTTAGAATGTAAAGTATACATACTGATCTCTGTTTTCTTCTTCTTATCTTTTTACCCTCTATGGCAGGGTGCCCAAACTTTTTCTTATGAAGGGCCAATAACTAAACTTGATTTGGGCCAGAGGTAAATATACTAAACTGTAAAGTTGTCAATATAATTTCTTAATTTATTATTATTATCATTATATAATTTAATTAATAATATAATTTATTATATTGAAATTACTCTAATTGTATTAATAATTATACAGTCTTTGTACATCTTATAATGAACATTTTACAATAAAAAACATGAACAATCCCATTTATAACACTAAAATATACATTTTACCTTAATTACTGATGTCGTCTGTGTTAAAAAAAAAAAAATCTGATTCATTCACAACATTTAAAGCAGGTTACCATGGGCCAACATTTGCCGTCAGGCCCTAGTTTGAGGGGTCTCTGCACTATGGCATATTTTTTTACAAGGACAAAAAGTACCCTAATTTGTGGGTCTCTTATTATAATATAAATCAATTCCAAAATGTGCTCCCCCCCCACCAGATTTTGGTTTGTTGCCTCAGGGCAACAACTTTAAATTAGGGTACTGAAACGCAAAGTCTTCCAGTATAATAATATATTTGAAATTAGGAACAAACAAGCCATAAGTACATTAGAAAAAGTTATGATATCAACATCAAAAATATTTCATCAAACACCAGCCATAAATGGTATATTTTGTTCATGTGGGTACCGATTGAATTTAATTATTTACTGTGCCAATGTTTATTATTCACTGTTGAACCCCAGCAGTTGTTGATGGTTGTGAAGTACACAACCTCACAAAAGTCTAGTCGTCTATCCAAGTTTTAGGAACAACAAATAATAAAGTTCATCATTTAATCTCAGAAGTGGCTTATTGACCTTATTCTAAAATGCGGAAGTTCGCCTGTTTTCGCGATTGTCTTAGAACTTCCGTTTCAGTCGCCTATGGGAGAAATGACAAGGAATAATAAACGGCAGAAAATGGTCAAACTACTTGCTCTACAAACAAATGTTTGCATGACTATACAGACCAAGTAGAATAATGTAACAAGGAAATATCAGTTTGCAACATCAAACAGCGAAACGAGCAGTTTTTAATGTCTAAAAATGAATGGAAGTGAACGAGACCGGAAGTCTCGTGCCAAAAAGATTCAAATGGCAGCGCCCGCTCGTCTACGGAGAATAAGGTCAATATGAAAGGCAAAAGCCTCTAGATTACACTTATTTTACTAAAACAAAATATGATCATGCCTTGGTTATTAATTATTTAATTAGGACAGTAAGGTCTGACTTTGCTTAGACAAAAGTCTTGACACTTAACAGACATAATGTACAGTATATAAAGTCATGCTGCAGTGGAAAAAGCATTAATATTGTGTATGACTCCCATGAGCTTGGATGTCTGCATTCATATATCACTGCTATGTCTCAAATAACTTTTTAATATGTTATCTGGAATGGCAAAGAAAGCATTTTTGTACGAGAGTTTATCAAGATTTTTTGGATTAATCTTCAATGCCTCCTCCTCCTTACCCCAGACATGCTCAATAATGTTCAGGTCTGGTGATTGGGCTGGCCAATCCTGGAGCACCTTGACCTTCCACGCCCCCATACTGAATTTAACTCCAAACCATGATGTTTCCGTCACCAAACTTGACTGATTTTTGTGAGGTTCTTGGGTCCATGCGGGCTCCAATAGGTTTTCTGCAGTATATGTGATGATGGGGTATATGCCGAAACATGCTAATAGGACTTTTAATTTGCCATTAACCTGGGTTAAGCGCTTCCGGCGAATTGAATGCCAATGCAAAATCCGGTGCGTTTAAGGTCTGTTTTCTTTAAAAATCAACGATCTCCACTAACTGAGTGATATCCGAATTAAAGTGGGTCTCAGTTTGTACAAGAAGCACTGCATTAAATTACATTTCCCCCGCCATATCTTTATAATATGAGCATTTATTTTACCCCAGTATATTCAATGGAGCTTCTGCGTTAGCCTGCCGATTCTGACGGGCGCCTGCGAGTAAACAGCTTTTTGTCTCGTTTTACGCTTGAGCAACTAAATAAATGCTAAAGTTTATTTAACTGTATGTATTTTAATGACATTACAACATCGATGCTGTATAAGGAACCGTATAAAATGAGAAAAAGTTCACAATAACAGCTCACCGGAAGTGTATCAGCATGGGAACAGCACTAGCTCGGCATATACCCTATTGGGATGCAGTTCAACAGATGATTAACCAGAAACATCTACCTTCTGACACTTTTCCAACTCATCAACTAGAAATCAAGTTATTATTTGTTGCTCTTACAACTAGGATTGACAGCAAATCTTTTGTCTGGTAGCGTAGAAGTGGGTGTCACATTTTTTATCACTTGGCTTTAGGTCAGGGGATGCCCAAACTCGGTCCTGATAGGCCAGTGAACTCTATGGGCCCTATCATACACTCGGCGCAGTGTGGCGCAAGGCGTGACGCAGTAGTCTTTTGGTAGTTTAAGCTTGGCGCAAGAGTCGTTTTTAGGCGTTGCGCTACGCTGTTTAAATAGCAAATGCATTTGCGCTCATTTGTGCGCCCATAGACGTTCTGGTCTAAAAGGAAGGCGTTCTGAGGCGCATTACTGGCGCGTTGCTGTTTTGAGAAACTATAATAGATTTTTCATTAGACCAAAACTAACCCGGTCTAAACTCTGGCGCAGAGTTGCGCCTCGCTTACGCACTGCTTAATACGCACAAGAGAGCAATAGGCAAATATCTTTACATATGAAAAATGTAAATATTAAGAATATATACGAGATATAATAAGAATAGATATAGATTATAAATATAAAGGATTAAAATATTACAAAACATATTATTTTCTAGCCTACATAAATATGAAAAATCACTGCTTTTATGTCTTCTTCATCTCGGGAGGCTTTTTCAGTTCATTCATAACAATTTGCTTTTGTATAATGTTATCATTATTAGCAGTATTATTTATTATATCCATATTTATATTTGTTTTATTAAAAACAAGATTAGATTTACCCACCTGCAGGTTTTAGACCATATGGGGCACAGCATGTGTTTTAGGATATAACTCAGGTTTTTGTGCACATTTTGCTATTATTGTTCATTTATTCGTTTGCTGGAAATTAGAACTGAATTTAGAAATAGTTTTGAAACGAATATTTGCGCTTAACAAACAAAAGTATTTATTTATAGACTAATTGATGCCTATCCAAGAGTGAAAGTGAAAGTGATCCATTATCTCTCATTCTCAATTAGTAGTTGCTCTTTTTAACAGTTTTCTGTTAAACTGTTAACTGTTTGCTTGTGAAATGCTAATTTTTTCCACTTAGACTTACTTTGCATCCTGTAAATAGCGAATGCGCTCTTGGCGCGACACAGCTGACTCTTAAAGGGAATGGGAGATGAGACTCTAATTGGTTTATTCTTAAAACACACCTATAACTCATTAAGAAAATAAACTCAAGTTTTATTTATTTGTTTATTTATTTATTTATTTATTTATTTTTATTCATTTTTTAACTTAGTTCTATATTTAAATATGTTAGTTTTTTATATTAACTTTTCAAAAAGAATCAAACAAAATCTCAATAAAATGTTTTAAAAATCCAATGAATTTTTTTTTGTGTTTTATTATTGTTTTGTTATGGACAAAACCCAGTTAAAGTATTTAGTAATTAAGTAATACTTATTTATAATATTTCTTTTCCCATATTAGGTGATTGTATAATTATTTGTAGGTGACACAGTGGCTTAGTGGTTAGCACTGCCAACTCACATCAACTGGTTCAAGTCCCGGCTGGGTCATTTAGCATTTCTGTGTGAAGTTTGCATGTTCTCCTCATGTTCACTTGGGTTTCCTCTGGGTGCTCCGGTTTCCCCCACAGTCCAAAGACATGCACTGTAGGTGAACTGAACAAACTAAATTGGTAAAAGTGTGTGAATGAGTGTGTATGGATGTTTCCCAGTACTGGGTTGCAGCGGAAGGGCACCAGCTGTGTAAAACGTATGCTGGATAAGTGGGCGTTTCGAAGGAAAATGAATAATTATTTGTAATCGTTTTTCAATTATTTATCCTCTAATAGTTTAATTGCTTTTGTTGATTATAATTATAACTTAATTATAACCCAATCCGAAGCAATCCCCAATTATTTATTGGTTACATTTTTCTGAAATGCAGGTTTGAATGATGTCAGAGCAAGATTTAGTGGAAATAGTCCAGATTGCAGTGGCGGATTTAAATCATGAAGGACACCAAACAGGTAAGTCCACCTTAAAAAATACCATATATGTTTATACATGAAAGTGTTTGTGGTTTCCTACTAATGTAATTCATTTTTATTTTATACTAGATGTTCTGGAGAATAATGAAGACTCTGATCAACCAGGGAGGAAACGAGCAAGAATTGAGATCAGTCAAGAAACATCTATCAAGGTAGCTTTCTAATGTCATTAAAGGGTTGTTTCACCATCACTCACCCTCGTCCACATGTTGTCCCAAACCAAATTTTGGTTCCTCTTTTGAAGGTCTATTTTCCCAAAACTATAATGCTTCATTCGACAATTAAAAAGGAATCAAAAAAGCATGAACAAAGCAGTTTAATCCAAGTCTTATTTATATAATGGACAGATGTAATTCTGGCCTTTATTCACATATAAACAGAGATGTATAAAGTACTAGAGACCCAGACTTAAGTAAAAGTATAAGTCCTCTATCAAAAAAGTGACTTGAGTAGAAGTTGAAATGCTCCAAGCACCATACTTAAATGGAAGTACTAAAGTATTCAACATTTTTTGTACTTAAATATTGTAAGTAAAAGTACAAGTATTGTGTAATGTAGTTCTTAAAGAAAGCAGTCAAAAGACATATTGTTTTGCTTATTTGAAATATCTTTTTTTGGGGCACATGATTAAGCGAACGAAAAGAAACATGGCTTACGGTTTATATGAACTAGGATAACGTTTTTCTCTCGCTTGAACCACAGATCTGACAGATTATAACAGCTTTAACACACACCTTTCACTCCAATTTCTGTAATTCACTCAAAACGCTATTGAAACCCATTTTCGGCTTGCAAATTACGGTTGTAAACGCCGTAAACGGGAGTTCTAAACATTCTGCCGGAAGACACTGGTCACTATGGTGCCCTCCATGCAGCAGCCAAGAAAAAGGTCTATAATTGTAAGGAGTAGAGGTGTGAATCTACACTGGTCTCACGGTTTGGTTCGGTTACCATTATCATGCTATCGATTCGGTTCAATTCGATATCTCGGTGCACTGACAATGCTTTCCATACATAATTCGATTTTGTCTTCACAACACAAGAATTTTTTTTCATTAAAATCTATAAATATATATATGAATGTCTGTTGAATGACCTCCCACCCTACTCATAATTCTCTTTTCATATCCATAAAACACTGTGATATAGCCGGGCTCGGATTGTATTGCTTTCTCACTACAATTAATCTGCTCCAGAGTTCGTTTGAATCGAGCTGAGACCATCTCATTCAAGCGATCTCGAAGCGATTGTTTTGGCGCAGATCCGAGCGCGATTGCTAGATTGCAAACGAGACAGGTTCCGAAACAAAGGTCTAGGTATGAAAGTACCCTTAAACTCATTGAAGATATGTACTGAAGTAAAAGTGGAAATAGGAGAAAAAAACAATACTCCAGCAGAGTGCAGATACAGCCTTTTAGTACTTAAGAACAGTAGTGAAGTAGTTCTACTTCGTTACTATACATCTCTGCATATAAATAATAATCATGGAGTAAAAACTGAAGCAATGATTCTCCTTTTTGGTTATTGTTCATCAGTCAAGCATGCTTGCTCATTGTTTGATGAGTTGTGAGTTTAATGTTCACCATAAAAAACAACAATTGTGTGTCTGCAGAATTTGACATTTTTTGCTATTTCTGCGCGGAATTTTGTAAAAACAAATTTATGCTAAATGATTTTGAAAATAAAGTAACTAAATACATGGAATAATTAAATATAACCCTTTTTTTAAATTTAAGGTTTACAAAGCAAACCCATTTGTTTGGTAAACAAAGTCAGTTTCTCATTTAATATATCTACTAAAAAGACTGTTACATTACAAACTGTTACATTACAAACTGTGTTAAATAAATCATATAAACATTAGCAAATTATTAAGTAATATTACTGCAGGTAATATAAAATATATATTCACTCACATTTACATAGTTAAACAAATAGACAAAAAAAAAAAAAAATTGGTGGAAATCTGTGAATTCGCAGATTCCGTACGGGCCTACATATGGGTTATGATGATAGATTTTAAATTTTGGAATGAACTAAAATCAGGGCTCCAAATCTGAATATTCAATAGTGTCAACAGTCATCCTCGTGCATGCACATATAAAAATCAACAGTAAAAAATAGGTGTGTTTTGCATTTAAAAATATATAGCAGGGAAAATAAGTATCCAGCACGTCATGTTTTTTGTTGGGAATAATATTTCTAAAGAAGCAGTTGACATGGAATTGAACCAGATTTTGGTAAAAACCCAAACAATACAAACAAAAATAAAACAAAACAAATCTAAAAAATAAATTTTGTGTAATAGCAATGAAATGACACAAGGCGAAAGTACTGAACTACTAAAACAGAAGCAGGAAATCAGAGCACATCACACCTGTCCTCAGGTCTCTACACTGGCTCCCAGTTACATTCAGAATAGATTTTAAAGTATTGTTACTGGTCTATAAATCACTAAATGGCCTAGGACCTCAATACATAACAGATATGCTGATTGAATACAAACCTAACAGATCTCTCAGATCATTAGAATCATATAAACTAGAAATTCCAAGAGTTCTGTCAAAGCAGGGTGAATCCGCCTTCAGCCACTACGCCCCTCGCTGCTGGAATCAGCTTCCAGAAATGATCAGATGTGCTCCAACATTAGGCACATTCAAATCGAGACTGAAAACACATCTGTTTAGCTGTGCCGTTACTGTATAAGCACTGTGCTGCGTCCGACAGATTGCACTATTATGTTTTTCGTTTTCTTTTTCATGTTTTTATAACCTATTTTAACTCATTTTAATTTGTTTTTATCTGTTTTTAATATTTTTTATTGTCTGCATTTTATGTTCTAAACTTGTCGTTTTTTATTCCTGTTTATGTAAAGTACTTTGAATTGCCACTGTGTATGAAATGTGCTATATAAATAAACTTGCCTTGCCTAAAACGTGTTAAATACTTTATATAAAAGGCTTTTTTTAATGATGGCAGCTTAAAGACGCCTCTTGTATGGAGAATGAAGTCACATGAATTGCTCAGGTGTAAGTTTTTCACACACTTCAACAGTGTGCAAAAATCTTGATGGTTATGTGGGTCTCATCTATCAATAAATGACATTTTCATCTGGTATTAAATATAATTAGATATTTTACCAATTTCTGTATTTCTGTTTCTCCAGTCGATGTTGATATCCATCAGTCAGGCGATCTGCCAGCGGCTGGACAGTATGGAAGCAAAGCTGCAGGTTCTTGAGGTGACCTGTCGAGGTTTAGTGGAGAAACTGGACACAGTGATGGGCAAGAACCAGTCAACGATTCAAGTACCCATGGTGTCCGGGTCCCCATTCGGAGCCACTCAGACTTGTGACAAAGTACGCTGGTAAGTGGACCATAGGTCATGTGATTTATACACCAGCACCATTCATTAAATGGTTGGTTCTGTTTATTTTTTTCTTTATTTCTGCCCGTTTTTACGGCGTACAACATATGTTATAAATGACAACAGGGTCCCCGCGGGGTCTTAAAAGTCTTAAATTAAAAAATCGATATGTATGGCTTTAAAAAGTCTTAAATTCGCTGTTCTAGGTATTAAATATTTTTGCACAGGTCTTATTTTTGCGATGTCCATGTAACGCTACATCTAATGCTTATTTAAATTCTTTTTGTTGTTGTTGCTAGGTTTTTGGGGTTTTGTAGTTCTTTATTTTACTAGTCCAATTGTAATTTGCTTTATTACAACCACAAAAAAAGTCAACTTGCGATAGCCAATCAGCTTTCTGATATTAAACTCAGTGCGCGCGGCGGATGTGACATCATCGCTGTGTTTGCGGAAGTTCGCTTTGAGTGCGTGCGACATGATTTTGGCTGGCAGAGTATGCCGTTATTTCACTGACAAATGTCGCAAGCGCAGTTTTATAAGTCAGGAGTGCTGTAATACGAGAGAGCGAATCTCTGCTCACGCGCAGGTTTCCTTTGTTCATGGACAAAACTGCTTGCGAGCTCTCAAAACACTGGCTGCTCACATGCAAATTATCTGCTCTCGCTCCGCCGGACTCCTTTCGTGCTTTTCCAGAGATGCTTCAGCATACTGTAGTATTAAGAATAGTGAACTGATAAAATGAAATACAGTGTAGTTTTACTACTGTAAAGTGTGGTGAATTTTAGAAAAATATACCTTATATTGTAAAAAAAAATAAATAAAGCACTGGGTAGTTTGTTTTTAATACACTTGTTGTGTTACCATAGCAACTATAGTATTACCACAACAGAGTAATTGAAGTACTTTACTGTACTTCACAAAACACTGTACAGCAGACACTAGTTCACTTTATTTTAGTGATAAAATAGGATTTATAGTGGGATTTATTTAAAGAGTGAATAGTACAGTAAGCTATAATACCTAATCAAGTTTTTACCTATTTTCTATCACAGTTACATTTCTGCTTGCCAGAATGACCAATAATTATTGGCTAGAAATTGCAACAGCCATGGGAAAGGAGGAAAGTTTTTGTAAAACTTTGGAAAAACTCCGAGGGATAAGTTTGTTAAAACAAAAAAGAGGCCCCCAAAAACATCTTCAATGATAATGATTATCTTTTTATTCGTCTGATTTTACTTTCTGTTCTTTTGGACCGCCCCCTGTCATTTAAAAAAACATATCTCAATGGTGAACGTGTCAAGTACAAAAGCCTTAATCCGTTTCGTGAGTTGTGCGATGCGGTGCCAGGTGAAAGTATAAATCTGCATTAAGATGTGTTTTTTCTGTAGTTCAATGGTGCATTTAACCTGACCTTACTACTGTTCAATTTAAATAACTTTATTTTAGCCCTAATTTTGTGCTTTTACATTTTCTCTCGCGTGTTCTGATATTGTGATATAGGTGTTAAATTTAATACTTAATGGTCTTAAAAAGGTCTTAAAAGGTCTTAAATTTGACATTATGATATCTGCAGAGACCCTGATCATAATACAAGTCCCAGTTTGTTTTCATTGCATATTAAGCATTTGTTCATTTTTGTATTATTATTAGTATTAGTATTAAAACAGGCTTTTTTTAAAAAAGGTTGCAACACTTTTAAAATGTTTTTGCCCATTCATTCATTAATTCATTCATTTTCTTTTTGGCTTAGTCCCTTTATTATTCAGGGGTCGCCACAGTGGAATGAACCACCAACTTATCCAGAATATGTTTTACACAGCAGTTGCCCTTCCAGCCGCAACATATCACTGGGAAACACTCATATACTCTCGCATTCACACACATACACTACGGCCAATTTAGCTTATTTGATTCACCTATACCGCATGTCTTTGGACTATGGAGAAACCCACGAGAACATGCAAACTCCACAAAGACATGCCAACTATTTATTTTGACACTAACAGTGAGTTTTTTTTTCCTAGTGTTGTTCCCCAGACAAATGTCATAGTAAGTGGAGACAGGGCGAAGACGGAGGAGACTTCGCCACGCACATCAGACTCTTTAGAAAATCTGCTCAGCAAGTGAGTACTACACATTCATATTTTGGCAACTCTTTACAACAAGGTTCCATTGGTTCATTTTAGTTAATGTTTTTACGAGAATGAACAAAAAAAATAAACAAAATTTTTTATTAGGAAATGTATTATTGTTTGCAAATGTTGGTTAATAAAAAGTAGTGTAAAATAATACACATTCTTCACATAAAATTGTCAGTGTAAGGGTGCTAAAGTTTGTTTTACAGTTGGCGGTTCACTTCAGTTATTTGGTACGAATGCATTCAAATCAGAAGTGAACCATACCAGAGTTTGCACGAACCGTACCAACGACAACCTCTAAACGTACCGTACTCTGAAGTCAAACGAATTCGAGTGAGGACCAAAAGTGCTAATCTGAAAGCGCTGTAAGTCTTCTTTGTATTTTTGTGTTGCAGTACTGTAGGGCGAGGGAGACAGAAAACCATAGTACTGAAGGTTCCAGTTCAGGAGGAGATTCAGGATGATCAGGAAAGTGGTTCGGAAACGAGCGATTCGGTGTCCAACAGCGGCCAGCCTCAGAATAACAACAATGTAACGCTCATCACTCTTAACTCAGAGGGTAAGATTTACAAATATTGGATGTTTAAGACTTAAAATGACCTTTGTGATAACTAAGTGCATTTGAGCTAGAACAATTCCTATTGAAATGTTGGTTCCGCTTTATATCGTATGGCCTTAATTACTTTGTACTTACATTTCAGTTAATCATTTTGGGTCAGTGTAATTATTATCTACATGGATGTTTTTACAGTGTAGTTATATTTTAAAAATGATGATCATTTCTGTAAATATATTTATACTTATACTGTTGATCATCTCTTACACCTAAGCCCACCCTTAAACCCACTAAGACCACCAAACCTTTCCATAACCTTTCTCATATCCCTCCTCAATAACACCATGGGCTCTATTTTAATGATCTAGGCGCAAAGTCTAAAGGTCATGGTGCAAAAACATCAAGGGCATGTCTAAGTCCACTTTTGCTATTTTAAGGATGGAAAAATATGCTTTGTGCCCCTGGTCTAACAGGGTTGTGCTTAGTCTCTCTATTTTTAGTGACAAAAATTAGTAATTGTGTGGTGGTAATTCATAGAAATTTGCGGACAATTTTGCGATAAATATATATATATATATATATAAATAAATATACATACTATACCAAATACACACCATATTAGGTAGCCTACTATGTTGGGTGCGCAATCTGACACAATGACACAAATCATAAAAATAAAGCTTCTTTCAGTCAAGATCTAAAACAGACCTAAAACAGTGGAAATTAAGCCAAAGGAAGGTTTTATAACTCTTATTTTTATTCACAATCTTAATTTCTCTTAGATTTCACTCCCTGGAGCTTCTGAGATCAGCTTCCTCACTCACGATTTCCCCTACCGTAATACACCTAAAATACAATAAATATAATAATAAAATATAATGTCTTGCCAAATTTCCTTTGAGGGAATCAACTCAAGTTCATTTTTTAATTGTTTCGACTTTGTACTGAAGTTAGATTTTGTGAGGAGATAAAAGAGTAAATCACACCTATAATACCTTTGAGAACTGGGTTGGTTTTTAAAATGGTGTCAAGTAATGTTTCTCTAGGTAAAGTTGGAAAGTCTACTGTATTAGAAATCATAAAACTGCGGATCGGTAAATATCTAAAGAAATGTGTTTTGAGGATATTGTATTTTGTTCTTATTTGGTCGAAGGACATGAAATTGGTATCGCTACATAAATCGTTCAGTGTGATGAGTCCTTTTTCTATCCAGCAATTAAATGTAGCATCTGCAATCAAAGGAGTAAACATGATTTCTCATAATAGGGGTCTGGATTGAGAGATCTGTAAATGATAAAGCTTGTCTAAATTGGTGCCATATTTTAGGGGGTCTGCTTTAGTGGCTCGTTTCAAATGAACAAATGAACACATATGAACACATACAGCCCCTTACAGTCCCCGATATGTTACCAACTACAGAAAAAGTACACACAACATACATTTCGTCCTTAATTAGGTTCAAAACAACACAAAGTATAGCCTACAGTCATTGAAAACCTCTCATCATCTGTGTCTGTAATCTTTAGCAGCACATGTAGCCTCTGTTAGAGAGTCATTCCATCATTCCCAGTTCATATTAGTCCAAAAGGTGATGCTAAAAATTAAAACAAGGCAGTTTGTTCACGTTTGCTGAAGAATAAAACGTGCTCCTTGGCTTTCCACGTTTTTTTTTCCGCGCTCCATTCTCGCGTTTGTCCTTTTCTTTCTGAATGTGTCATTCTCGCGTTTATCATCAGGATCGGGTTTCCAAAGCTTGTCAATAATCAAGCGCACACTATTATTATCATGAGGTCAAGAAGTTAGTTATTTCAGATATTGAAGAACAAGTAATCTTTCGCTGTGTATTTCAAACATGGCAGGTCCTTTGTTTACATTCGGTGTTGTTGCGTAAGCGAATGACGTATCTCTGTAAACCAATAGCGTTCAGCTGCACGTCTAGCTCCGCCTTTTTCTTGTGTTTGGGACCCTTTCGAAAGGGTACTGTTTGGTTCGGTACGCCTTTTGACAGTGGAAATGGCCATAAAAAGCATAACAAACCGAACCGAACTGTACCACTCAGTGGAAACGGACCATTAGCCTGAATACAGCACATAATCAGTACCTGAGGCGGTTATTGTCATTCTTGTTTGTGCTCTTGTTCAGTCACGACGTTACAGTATCAGAAAGCATGTCTAAAATTGTAATTTCACGCTTTTCTTCTGTGGATGGTTATGACAAAAACTCCTTTTAACAAGGAAAAGATAGCTTTATGAATTAGCTTTAATGCAGTACATTTGATTGGATCAAGAAATGGTGCAGTGCAGGATTAGTCATCAACTTTATTTGTTTTCCAAAAGAGAACCATCATAAATTTTGCATCTACTAAAAGCTAATTTTGTCAACATTAAAAAGTGCACTCGCAAATAATCTTCCTCAACGCCAACACACATCAACTAAAAGCCACAATAAAAACTCCAATTTTGACTTTATAGCATCTTTAAAGGAAATTATTTTTTTGTCATCGGGATCCATTTGTTTTGAATTGAGCATGGCCTCACAAGAAGAGCGAAGAATTCGATTGTGTACAGAAAAGGTTTGAAGACACGGCAATATCTGAAATAAATCTGCACAAATAAGATAATAGTATGTTTATGGCTCACATGTGTTTGATCTGCTTCGCAACATTTAAGCATAGAAATGTAGCAGTAAACGAGCTTAAAATCTTAACAGTGTGAACAGGCCCTGGTTATTGAAATCAAAGTATACTCAACTAAAGAAACATTCGAGTAATAATATAAACATGTTTTGGCTATCCGCTAGTTCTCCCTGGACATGATTAAAACAGCTTGCTACATCAATAACAATAGTGTTGTGTAAACCGTCTGGTCTTATGTGATTCAGCGATGGGTCTTTGGTCTGGGGGAGGCCTGGGATTAAAGGGTTTGTTTTGATTGCTTAACTTCTGCTTTTGCTTTTCTTATTATTTGACTGGTTTGCTTTTTGTGTGGCGTCTGGGTTAGCTCGGTTAGTTCAAAGACGTTCCTCCACAAATATTCGCTCTGTTCACAGCTGTTCGTGATGATATTTAGTCAACGAATGGTACATTTGGTTCTTAAAAGGCTTTGCTTTTGTTTGTTTGGATTGTTTTCCCCTTTGCTATAACCTTGTTCGCTGTTTTGATGTGAGGGAGTGGCGCTGACGCGTGTCAGCTCTTTCATCTCACAAGCTGTCATTTTTTGTCATGTGACCTTTTTTATTTAAAAACAAACATGGCCGTGTTGTACAGCTGTCTGTGATTGATGGATTCAAAGGGATAAAAACGATCAAAGTCAAATTATGTTTACAGCTGATTCACTACATCAGTATTCAGAGGTTTAAAAACTAAGAATATAGAAATGGAGATGTAATAAAATGGCAATAACGATTTTAGTGACCACATAATGATCACCTTTATTAATATTATAATGGTTTTGTTAAAATAACCAAACAATAACTGCACACTTAAAGGGATAGTTCTCTCAAAAATAAAAATGTCCTCACTGTTTACAATATATACAAACTCTTGAGTTTCTTTCTTCTGTTGGAACACAGAATAAGATATTCAGAAGAAAGCAGAAAACTTGTAAAAATTAAATTCTATTGTAGGAAAAACGAATGCACTCTCAAAAAAATGGTACGATGTTGTACCAAAGGAGGTACAAACCCTTGTCACTGGGGCAGAATCATTTTATGGAACAGAATTTTACCTTAAGACAGAGAAACCATTGCAGTTTGTACATTTGAGGACAAGGAGCACACAAATATGATACATAAATGTACCACTACATTCTGTCTGAAAGTTCTTTTTTTTTATTACTTATTTTTTAAAACGTTTTATTCTTAACGTCATCAGAGGCAATTTACTCATTAAAACCTCATTTTACTCTCATACTTTGACAAGAGACAGAAAACCCCATTCATCCCACAATAAACTGGTATATTTCAGTCTCCGAAATGGCCAAAACTATATCTGTGACAAAAATATAGCAGAATTTATTGAAAAGAAGGCATCCTTGAGTTTTTCCAGCTGTATTTTCTGATCAAATGAAGACACTCTTTATTTAAGAGTTTAAGCAGTATTGTTCTTGTAATATATTTGTTTGGTCATACAAAATGGCCACCAGGGGACACTCTTGCCTTTTGGTTTGGATTGTGCTGAGAACTCAGGTCTGCTGCATAGACGTTAAGGGACATATTCTTACACCATCCACACATATTTGGAATTAGTGGTCGACAGATATTAAAAACAATGGCTGATGTTACATGTATTCCCCCGGTAGTTCAGAATAAGACCTTGTGAGAGTCACATTTATAGATAGAAATAGTTCAAATCAAATAAGCCGACTCTTAAATCTGTTTAAAATGTAATTCTTGAAGCTGCTACATTTATAAAGATTATTGGGATTTGGTTTATATATTTATTAGAAAAGTAATTTTGGTGTGTTTACCCCTTACTATGCAAAAGCCAGAGCAAATCATTAAAATATAACAATACACACTATTTAAATAAACTTTCTATAAAAAAATTCATATAAACATATTATGTGTTTGTGTGTGTGTGTGTGTGTGTGTGTATATATATATATATATATATATATATTTTTTTTTTTAATAATTAAGTATTAATATAAAATATGTTTTATTTAGTTCTGTCTCTCTGTCTTGCGGTTGAAATTTGTTACGCTAATAGTCAAGATGCCATTTGCAATTTCCATTTATCTGTGATAAATACATCTAAAAAAATCTGAAAATACATAAATTTGAATCTACTGTTTTAAAAAGATTCGAAAATTTTGATTAGATTTAGGATAAAGTGCTTGAAATAATTTGTACAACACATGAAATTAAAATAAATATAAATTTAAGGTGGAAGATTACATGTTTAAGATGTAAGCAATTCACATTTAAGAGAGTAAATTACTTCATGAACTCATAAATTATTTTAATGTTGGGCTTGGGGTAAATTACTCTTTAGATTCATAACTGTACTACAGGATATAATACCAAATAGCATTGGATATAATGTGACGATATATGTTTATGTGTTTGACTATGCCATTTACTACACTTGTACATTGTACACCTAAAAAGTGCTTAAATTTGACTTTAAAAATGTGCAAGAACCGTGATTTATGTTTATCTTTTGATATTTATATATTTTATTGTTTCAATTTCAGAAAACGTATTTTTTTTACTGCCAATATTAGTTTTTCTTAATCATAACAACAACACTGTTTATTTAAGTACAATTAATAATACCGGAAAAAAAAAAAAAAAAAACATCTGTTCACTGTATGCTTTTTTTTTTTTTATTAAAATTTTGTCAAATTTTAATCAAATAAATTGAAACATTACTCAAAGATAACCCAAGTAAACACATCATATATATTTTTAAGTAATTAGGCATAAAGAGTGTTCATGACTCCACCATAAGTAAAAAAAAAAAAAAAAAAAAGGTTTAAAGCCGAAAACCACTGCTAAGCAAAACTAACATAAAGACTTGTCTCAGTTTTGCCAGAAAACATCTTGATGATCCCTAAGATATTTGAAAAAATGTTATCTTGCAAAATAACAAAAAAAATAATATTTACTGTCATCGTGCCAAAGACCAAAGAAAGTATTTTATAAAAAACAGGTATCAAACCCATTGTTTAAAAAGTGTCGACAAGAAGTGTTTACAGGATGGCTAATTATTTTGACTTTAACTGTATATATTTATTCATTAATGTATTTATTTATTTATTTATTTATTTTTTGATTTTATTGAAGTGCCAATCTACCTGTCAAGACAGAAATACTGTTAATATTTGGGAAAAAAGAGGACTTAGTAATTTTATTGTGCATCTTCATCTTTGCTCCACAGAGGATTATCCAACAGGAACGTGGCTCGGTGATGAAAACAACCCTGAGATGCGCGTCCGCTGCCCTGTTTCTCCAGCCGACATGTTGCACATCAGCACTAACTGCCGCACGGCGGAGAAAATGGCGCTGACGCTACTGGACTACCTGTTCCACCGTGAAGTTCAGGCTGTCTCCAACCTCTCTGGACAGGGCAAGCATGGCAAAAAACAGCTCGACCCACTCATGATCTACGGTATTCGATGTAAGTCTGATCAGAGAACAAAATACTGTACGACTGTTTTGAATTTGGGCTCATTTACACCCAAAGCATGAAAAAAAAGTGAATAAAAAATAATCAAATAAAATTTAAGTTAATAAAAAGAAAAAAAGTTTAACAATTAAACTAATATTATGAACGTGATGTAATAACGATCATAACGGACCCATTAGAAACAAGTACACAATATGTTATGATTAGCACTCAAAGATACATCATTTAAACCTAAGGATATCTGGGCAAGGCGTCACGAAGGGGTAGTGGGTAGCACGATCGCCTCACAGCAAGAAGGTTGCTGGTTCAAGCTCCGGCTGGGTTAGTTGGCATTTCTGTGCGGAGTTTGCAGGTTCTCCCCCTTGTTTGCGTGGGTTGATTGCATGGTCCTTCTGATTCACAAAAAAATATCAACAAACAGTTCAGAAGAATCATTTTTTTTATGAATGGGACTACATTGCTTGTGTTTTGTGGTTATGATTCAGTTAAAATAATAGGCACATGAGATTCATTCACTGCTTTTTAATTGACTAAAAACAGCTAGATCATAAGAGCCATTTGTCAGACTAGAGATATGTGGTTTTGATTCATTCAAAGTAACAGCACTTAAGAATGTTGATTGCATGATTCTTCAGATTCTCTAAAAAGTCAACAAAAAGTACAAAAAACAGAAGAGTCATTTGTTTAGAATCTAACTACATCGATTGCGCTTTTAAGTTATGATTCAGTTAAAGGAATTAGCACGTGAGAGTCATTCTCTGCTTGATTTTGATTCACTGAAATGAACTAGTTCATAAAGAGTCATTTGGTTAGGAATCAGACTACTTTAATTAAGCTATGTGATTTAGATTCATTGATCGGAACTGGTATATTGGATAGGGGTATCAAAATGAATTGTTTCTTCGGTGCACCGCGATGCAGATGCAAAGAATTTGGTATCGGTTCAGTTTAGAGCTGCACGATACTGGCTAAAATGAGAATCGCGATTTTTTTTTTTTGGGCCAAAAATAAAGATCATGATTTTCTCACGATTCTGTAGATTTAAAATGAAGGTTAATATGTGGTAAAACAGCAATAGGCTTTGTGTATCTGTACTGTTGGTTAAAATGCTAAATTTTGTATAGACTTGGAATGGTGGACTTGAACAGACTTTAGATTTGTCCTGGCCATTAATGATTAGGGGTGTCACGATTTCAATTTTTAATCGAAATCGATCGAAATTTATGCTTAATTTTGATTATCGAATCAAAAAATAGAATCGTCGATGCTGCCACGCCCCCATGTCACGTCAGCTTGGCTTGCCAAGCGGAAAAAAAACAGGCTTGTTGAAGTGCTTGTTAAACTGCAGAAGCAGGAGACCCGTCGACAGAACTTAAAACCTCTCCTCTTTCAATGAAGTCGCCGGTGTGTAGGCATTTTGGATTTCCAGTGGGTTATGTTGACAATGTTCGTGTTGTCGACAAAAAAACACAGTTTTACAAGCTCTGCTATGTACGTATTACGTACGGTTTGTCCGATAGACAACACCGGCATCGCGATCCTCCGCCCGCCCCCGTTGCAAATCCGCTCGCGAAAAGTACACACTCAGGCCCTGTTTACACTGTCTTTGTTTTAAAATGGCATTTTAGAACGACAACGATTTGACATCCACAGTGGCGTGTAGCATTTCTGAGCAGCCCTCCTTCCTCTCTACCTCTGAAAATGCACATCACGTGACCACACAGACACAGACGCACACACAGTCATGCGCTCGAGACAGCAGGTCCAGGCAGTCAGAGGACTGCTTCAATCTTTTACTCACTTGTACTTAGTCATTTTAGCTAACACCTCAGATACTGTTGGCTGGTTCCTGTTGGTTGTGCGTCTTTTTTACAGACGCCATTATAACGACACAGATCACTGCCTATTCACGAGTCCCGCAGAAAAAAGTGATTGACAGGTGGTAATTATGTGTGTATCTTGTCTTTATTCATTTACTGTATGATTTGTTTATGGGTAAAACAATGACCATGCAGGTCAGGTAGTTTAAACGGTAGGCTACAAATAATTAATTGGTCAGTAATTAATTAATTATTCATAATCGAAAATCGAATCGAATTGTGCCTTTAGAATCGAAAATGTAATCGAATCGAGGATTTGGAGGATCGTGACACCCTTATTAATGCTGATGATAATTCTGATGTTGAATTATTTTGTTTGAGACATATGCTTACAATCTGTAATTTTCTGCTTAAAATCTGTCACTGACGTGATTTTCGTGAATACAGAAGACTGGGTGGGTATTTTTGCCTTTCGGCGGGTTCAGTCAGCTACATCTGGCAACACTGTGTGCGCTTTCGGTTTCAGTTTCACTGCTAAGAGCGGTTCACTTCCTGCACGGCTCCCATACGATCACTCTGTTCCACAAACTGAATGTTATTTACAACATTATTACATGTAATTCACAGCCTATGCAGGTTCTTTTCACTAAAGTAGACTTTATTCAGAGGCGCGCGCGACCGCCCTCTGTGGTAACAGCTGACGGTCAGCTCACGTCACGTGGGATTTTGCAGTCGTAAATACATTACATGAAGACAGAAATGGCATTTTTGAGTTGAATTATATCTTATAAATACAGCATGTGACTCTTACAACACCATTTGGAGGTGTCCATATTGCTGAACAACGTGTGTTAAACAATGTGAAGACTTGTGCGGCCACTATTGGTTCTCTCCTGAACTTGAAAATATGATTGAGAGAATCGTAGAAATGCTGGATTAAGATTATTGTAGGGGTCGAATCGAGATCGCAATCTTTTTTTACAATTAATTGTGCAGCAGTAGTTCAGTTATAATCATAACCAGGTGATTAGGTACTGACGTCATTTATCTCATATGCGCTATGTTGTTGTAACGTCGGGGAGTGACACTAGCAACAGAAGTTGGATCCAAATGCAGGTTTATTCAGAATCATCAGGCCAGCAATGGTCAATACAGGTGTAAACAGATGTATGAGGGCAATCCAGAGTCGAAGTCAAAATAACAGGCAGATGGTCAGAGGCAGGCAGCAAACAGAATTAAATAAATAAACAAGGCAAGGATCAAAACACGGCAAAGGCAGACAAAGGAAACGCGTTGTAATGTCACTATCAGTAAACAAGACTCGGCAATGTGAATGAGTGTGTTTGCTGGTTAAATACTGTGTGTAATCAGTCTTGAAGCAGGATCAGCTGTGGGAGTCTAATCAGTGGAGACTTGGAACAGGTGTGTGTGTGTGTGTGGCATGACTGAATATGTAGTCCATTTACTGGCAGATTTGTAGTTCCATGAGTGAGTGTTTACCAGCGACATCTGGTGGTTTGTTCGCTGGTGAACATGACAGTTGTCGTAGCTTAATGTGGCGAGGGAGGCGAGCATTACAATGCAGTATTAACAGTCTTTACAACGCTCCAACTACTTAAAAACAGAGAAACTGTGCTCAATTTTACTGCGTGTGTGTTTGCTGGACAGTCTTTCACTGACACTTACAGCAGAAGCCCCTATTTCACTGCGATTGAGAGAATGAAAGTAAACTCCATTTCTGTCTCCCTCTCCCACTATGGCCCTCTCCATTAAGTGCATTGCGTCTGACATCGCATCACTGAGTGCATCATCGATGGCATGATCATCATAACTGAACTGAATCTTGCGACCAGTGTAGGTTCACACCTCTAATATTGAAGTTATTTTCTACATGATTCTGATTCACCTAAAAGAACCAGTTCATAAAAGTCCTGTGTTTAAAATTCAGACTAAATTGATTCAGACATGTGGTTTTGATTCGGTTTAAGATTTGTTCACTGCATGGTTTTAATTCACCAAACAGAACCAATTCATGAGAGTCATTGGTTAGGAATCAGACTACATTGATTGAGCTATGTGGTTTTGATTCAGTAAAAAGAACAAGCTCACATGATTCAGGAATCTTATGACCGCTGGCCATAACCAATTCCTAAGTCATTTGTTCCAGAAGCAAACTACATTAATATGCCGTCAGTTTGTATCATGAAAAGAATCAAACATCATATGGTTTTGCTGTTTTTATATATTTAATGTTTTTATTAACCGCTATCTGTTCCAAACTCTATCTGTGACTAATTGGATCTTTAATCTTATTCGATTTATTCCATTTAAATACTTCTCAGTTTTGTCTCGTCTAATTCAAATCATCTCAGTTCTTAAGTAGCTCATCTGCGGTTCTGCCTCATCCTCGACACCAGACTCATTTTCTCCACATGAGCTAATTAGAAGTGTCTCTAACCACGCCTCTCATTCACAACTAATCTCGTGTCGCATCAATATGCGCGTAAATTCATGCAACATGCTATGAGTATCAAACTAATGTTCTGGGTTCGAGGAACGAGCTGCTATGGGCAATTAGATGTGTAAAGAGTGCAGCTTTTGAACAAACAAACTCTACTTGACAGTAATAAAGTCTAAAAGAGATTAAGCTGTGGATACCACACCAATATAGCATAATTTGTTTGACACTGTAATAATGACTATTTTTTATTTACTTAACTGTTTTTGGTTCGGGGTGGGGGTAGATGGTAATAAAATACAGTTTAATGCATCATTTAATAAATAATTAAAATAATTATTGATATAATACGTTTTTCTATATTTTTGTGAGGGTAGTTTTAGGCTTGAGGTTGGGGTAGATGTTAATAAAATATGATTTAATGTGTCGTTTGATTAATACAAGTAATTCTGGTTTTAAACAGTGTTTTGACATTACTGTGAGGGGTACATTGGGGTTTGAGTGGGGGTATTTATTAATAAAATCTAATGTATGGGTCATTTAATAAGTAATATTAATAATTCTGGTTATAATGACTGTTTTTACATTACTGTGAGGGGTACGTTTGGGGTTGAGGTGGTGGTAGATATTAATAAAATTAATTAATGGGCCATTTAATAAATAATATTAATAATTCTGGTTATAATGAGTTTTTTTAAAATTACTCTGAGGTGTTGTTTTAGGGTTAAGGTGAGGGTAGATGTTAATAAAATACAATAATGGATGATTTGATAAATAAAATAAATAATATAAAATATTCCCATTATAATTACAGTTTTTACATTATTGTGAGGGTATTTTAATGGGTTATTTAATAAATAATATAAATAATTCTCATTATAATTTATATTTTTACATTACTGAGAGGGTAATTTTCGGGTTGAGGTGGGGGTAGGTGACGCAGCTTCAAAAATTTGTTTCAAACCGGAAGTACGAATTTGCTTGAAATAACGCAAAATCAACCAATTTACACTTTTTAGTGAAATACAGGTGTCCTCATAGTGTTTTTAGCAGTATGGGACACATATATGACTGTCAACAGCTCAAAAAATGTGTTTTGGTGTTTCGTGACCCTTAAAGCTAACTGCTAAAAACTCAAAATTAGGTATATTTATTGCATTCAACAGCATTCAGGCGTTCTGTTTGAATGAGAAAACGTCATTTTTTAAAAAATTACTTGTCAAGTTTATGATTAAATTTCATTTTAGGAATCACTAATGAAATTAAGCAACAACTGTCTCTTTAGTTTAATTTCTAAACATTCCAGTCACACAAAATCTGGAGAAACTCGTGTCTGGTCCGAGCTTCTCCCATGGAGATTTGTCAGTCTATCGCGATCAATGATTGGCTCCTGTACTAGATGGCTTCATTCGCCATATTGACTGTTAAACCTTTGCCCATTCAAAACTATAAGGGTGACATGCCTTGTGTAATGTAGTCTTTGTTATTAGTAAGCTTTTTAGTTCTTTGCTTACTGCTAACAGTACAATTTCTTTGTTTATTCTTAGAACATAATATGAAGAAAAAAAACTTCTAAGAACTAAATGACAATAAACTAATAAGTAGTGTATTTTTTGACTTATTACTATATATGTTTTTATGTCAAATGCTATGTTTTTAGCATGCAAGCTAACTGGTTGACCATAGATAGTATTATTTCATGGTTGTGAATGTCTTTTTTCTGTGTGCAACCAGGTCACCTGTTCTTCAAGTTCGCCATTACCGAGTCCGACTGGTATCGCATTAAGCAGAGCATCGATTCCAAATGTCGTACTGCATGGCGCAGGAAACAGCGAGGACAGAGTTTGGCAGTTAAGAGTTTCTCACGCCGGACCCCTGCGTCGCAGAGCAGCTCAGGTACTGATCTCTATCCTTACCAAACCTCCAAGACCTTTTTGGTTTTAATTTTGATGCTGTTTCTAGACCCAGCTGGTTTGTGTTCAGATGAATGTAAACATATGCTGCGAGTACTTGATGTACCATGTGTTATGGAATTACACTGCAACGTAGAGTTTTTGTCTTGTTTCTATTCTAAAAATCTAAAAACTATTTAGTCAAGGAGCATTTTTAGACAAGTGAAAATATAGTATTGTTTTCAGAAATAAAAAGTCAAACTTTAGTGAGTTTTTTTCCTTAAAACAAGCAAAAGAAGAGGTAAGACTTTATAATAACTTCACATTATGAACTGTTTGTTAAGCATTAGCATATAGTGAATTCATTATCTGTTAAGCAGTAACTCAACATTAATAAACGTTAGTAAGCAGTTGACCACTGAAGCTAGAAATGCTGTATTCTTGACTTATAAGCATATTTGTAATGTTAGTGATTTATTTTTCATTACTAAATTAAGTATTGCATTATTTACAAACTAGTTATTTAAGTGTAGCTGGTGTTTTTTTAAAGATTATTCAGATTGAGTAGGTAAATGTTTTAGTTTTTGGTTGCTGAAAGGATCATTTGTTCTTTTGTTTTTTTCGGGGGTCACTCTCGTGTTTGTTTCTGAAGGAAACTATTAATAAAGGTTAAATAAACTATTAAAAAGGTTAATAAACTATTCAAATTATCATTTACAATTCTTATTATTTAGGCATATACTAATAGTTAAATTGTATGTTAATAAATGCTTTATTACAGGGGTCATCAATCTCGGTCCTGGAGGGCCGGTGTCCCTGCAGGATTTAGCTCCAAATTGCCTCAACACACCTGCCTGGATGTTTCAAGTATACCTAATGAGACCTTGATTAGCTTGTCCAGGTGTGTTTGATTAGGGTTGGAGCTAAAGTCTGCAGGACACCGGCCCTCCAGGAACAAGTTTGGTGACCCCTGCTTTATTAACTCAACTTCATGCAGTTTTGTGACCTAATCTGAAGGGAGGACTATTTATGCTTCATAAATCCCTTATTTATACTTCTGCACACTGTTTGTGTTGCTTTGCAATAACACTTCCGAAACGCTAGCTGGCAGTGAGGTTTTTATGTTCTTCTGTGTCGAGTTTTGTTCACTGGTGTTTTGTTTTTTTCTGAATGCTACTTTCACGTAGAAGTCGCTTAAACTTGCTAAATTTGTGCAACATATTTACTTATAAGATAAACACAAAACAAGGCTTCCATCTGGACCTCCTTCACGAAACTCGACACTTGTAAACACTCGCTCTAATGGGTTTGCAAGGCTCTCAGTCCCGCCCACTTTTGCTGCGCGTCGTTGCGACGTGTAGAAACATTTTTTGAGAGGTGTGTGCAGCAAAGGCTATGCATCCACCCGTAGGCTGCTCCGGAGCATGCACGTGCGCTTGATGCAGAAGTATTAATCAGCCTTAAGAAATATTAGTTTTCAATAGTCTACAGAACAAATCACTGTTACACAATGACTTGCCTAATTACCCAAACTTGCCTAATTAATCTAGTTAAGCCTTTAAATGTCACTTTAGGCTGAATACTAGTAACTTGAAAAATAAAAACTAGTAAAATATGTGCTATCATCATGCCAAAGATAAAAAAAAAAAAATCTGTTATTAGAAATAAGTTCTTAAAACTATTATGTTTAGAAATGTGTTGAAGAAAATCTTTCTGTTTAACAGAAATTGGGGGAAAAATAAACAGGAGGTCTAATCATTTTGATGTCAACTGTATAACATTGCGTCCATTTGCGTAAAAGTCATTGCGCACACGGTTGTTTGTTTGCAGGCTTATGTTTGTGTGTGAGGAGAAAAATGTATCCTCATCTAACAGATGGTTCTAATCTCAGTACAACGCCTCATGTCCTGTCCTTTCCTCTCAGAAATTTGCAGGCCTTCACCTTTGACTCGTTTCGGACGAACCCGAATATCCTGTGTGTTTGGCCACCACAATGGTCTATACACTTACGATTGCTTCACCTCCTTCAGTTGTCCAGCTGGAATAGGAAGCTCCCTGCGTGGTATATTAATCTATTAGCTTATGAACAGGCCACCTGGTGCTCTGCCTTTTTTCGAGAGGAACATGTGGATTGTAGCTATGTGACCAACAAAGTTTTTCCATCCCAGAACAAAAATATCTCAGTTTTGATGCGTAGGCATGAAGAAATTAAATCTCATGGCCTGCCTTAGATCGTACAATTTTGTGTTTATTTAAAGGGGATCTTTTTGACAAAATGTAAAATAATGGCCCATTTCCCCTAAGTGGTATGGTACATTTAGGTAGCTTTTATGGCTGTTTTCACTGTCAAAAGGTACCAAAAAGCGAACCATACCGTACCACTTTTTGGGTAACCTTTCCCAAGGGTACCTAGCACAGCAAAAGAGTACCAAAAAGGCAGAGCAAGATGCTCAGCTGAACGCTATAGGTTTAAAAATAAACGTCACCAGCGCATACACAAGCAGGAGAATGAAAACAAAGAAAAGGCCATTTTTAAATACACTGCCGAGACATTACACTGTAATAATACATACATATAATAATGAGCCATGGTCGACCGGAGTTTTAACAAACCTTGTCATCGCCTTTACGAATAGCCACAAAGCAGAAAGTAGCCACAAAGTAGAAGAGCTAATAGTGCAAGCAAATTTGCATTCTCACGCTCGCTCGCCGCACGTCTATATTTGAAATAACGACTTTCTTGCGCTGAAGATAATAACTTGCACATTATTATTGAAGTGATTCTGACATCAGATCCTTTCAGAAACAGACAAACAGGAGACAAACAACAAAGGAGCAAATGATTCTTTCAGCAACCTAAAACATAAACAAACAGCCATGTTTAACTATTATCATTGACTTTTGGACTATTATGTACTCGAAATGACAGAGTTTTTTTTTCTAACAAAAGTTTACATGTGCTGGTGAAGATTAAAGTAACAGATGAGAGGTTTGCACTGACTGTGGGCTGTATGTTGCGTGTTGTTTTTGAACCCAAACGTGCACAGGTAGGGCTCAACCTGTGCCCTTTTTGTAATTACACTCGGAAGTACCAAACAAGTACGAGTGTAGTTTGGGGGGGAATTTTCTTCAAGTCTTGTCCAAGTGTTTGATTCCAAAAAGCATAAATATAATTATTTTCCTCGATTGGTTCAGGCCGGGTGTGTCAAGCTCCTCTATCTGGGTGATGTCACGTAATTTGCGACAAACACAAAAAGTTTATGTAGCGAAACCATAGAGCAGGGCTATTCAATTGGCGACCTGCGAGGCAATTTGTTCCGACCCTCTAAATAGCGTGGCCAAGACATCAAAAATAAGTTTAGTTCAGTCTAAAAACATTTATGAAGTCCATCTGTTCAATACAGTACGAGCTGCGGTTGAAGGATGCGCAGAGCGTGAGTTACCTGACATTAAGCGAGTGGTGCAAGCAGCCGAAAACATTTGAATACAATGTTGTAAACGGGCTTCTCAATGCTCTGTTTCTGTTACACGGAATGAAACTACTGCAGCTAAACAAAGTAATGCTACCTGTGTGCTAGCTTAAAATTCAGAGCTTTTGTCACACATCGCGTCTTTTCCGCGCGCAAGTTTGTTATATGCAATAAAAGAATACATGCCAATATGCGCATGCAAGCGAAGCAATGCGCTCGCACCTTTCAGACGCACTGAGTAGAAAACATCTCACGCCGTAGCAGTAAGAGTTGCGCGTGGCTTTCAGTGCAATGTAAACAAAAGATATGTAAGACGAATTATTACAAATTATTAAAATGATTATGTATGTATGAACGCAGATGATAACAACAGTTCATTTAAATACTTACCTAATATAAATCTTAAATTTACATTAGACTTGACCACCGTGAAATCATGATTATTCTTCAGACTGTATAATCTTACAACCAAAATCTATAATTGTTGCATTCCTATTTGTTATGCAGTTCAAAACACAACATATCAATGTGTTTAAATGTAGAAAAAGCCAACTTAAGCACTGCACTGCTTTTGTTGTGCTTTGAAATACAACATTTATATATGTTTGTAAAAAAAGCCCCATTGTACTATGCAGTGATGTTATGTAGTTTCAAAATACAACATATCAACATTTTAATACAGAAAAATACAATATGGGTGTCTTAAGGAGCCAAAATACAACATATAGGCTTATATACTATTGTGTCATCACTCATATTGCAAGTCATATCTCTCCGGCCTCTCATTTGGGATTCTCTGCATAAACTGGCCTCCATGACAAACTAATTGAATAGCCCTGCTATAGAGCAAAACAGGCAGAAAATGGGATAATGCAAGTTTGCATACTCCCGGTTGGAGAAAGACGAGTTTAAACAGTGGCTGAAACCTGTCGCTGAAAACAACCGCTTAATAACAATTTGTTCTTTCAAGGTTTGTTTCTTCCGAGCTTATCTGATTTCTGTTGCATGGTTGTGTTCCATTCATTTGATTAACTACAAGTCTTTATTAAGGTAAAGGTTTGATACTGATTAGAACTTGAAGTGGCGATGAGGTCTTAAAATAATCTGAGAAGGTCTTTAAAAAGTCTTAAAAAAGTATTGAAATTTCCTTTAGGATTCCTGCATGTACCCTGTAAATATACACACACAAATGCACACACAAACTTTATAAGTTTCAAAATTTTCACATAGTTACTAACAATTTGAAGAGAATGAATCACGAATTTTAGAATGATATTTCATATTTGCTTGCAAACTTTGCTAAATTATAGCGCGATGAGCATTGCAATGAATTAAAAATAGTTCTAGACTTATGTTTTTAAGCACTAATGCTAGCCTCTAGACGATGAAGCCTAGAAGTCTTTGAATATTTGAACAGCATTTCTTTGCTCTTATTACTATACCATATTTATGAACCTGCACTAACTGCAAGGCCATGGATCTGACAAAAGTGTGTGTACTTAATTAACAAGCGGTGACATTTCTGTCATACAAT